CTGAGGCTGAGGCAGGCTGAGGCTGAGGCAGGCTGAGGCTGAGGCCGAGGCTGAAGGCTGAGGCTGAGGCTGAGGCTGAGGCTGAGGCAGGCTGAGGCTGAGGCTGAGGCAGGCTGATGCTGAGGCAGGCTGAGGCTGAGGCTGAGGCTGATGCAGGCTGAGGCTGAGGCAGCTGAGGCTGAGGCCGAGGCTGAAGGCAGACTGAGGCTGAGGCTGAAGCAGGCTGAGGCTGAGGCAGGCTGAGGCTGAGGCTGGCTGAGGCAGGCTGAGGCTGAGGCAGGCTGAGGCTGAGGCTGAGGCTGGCTGCAGGCTGAGGCTGAGGCAGGCTGAGGCTGAGGCCGAGGCTGAAGGCAGACTGAGGCTGAGGCTGAAGCAGGCTGAGGCTGAGGCTGAGGCAGGCTGAGGCTGAGGCTGAGGCAGGCTGATGCTGAGGCAGGCTGAGGCTGAGGCTGAGGCTGATGCAGGCTGAGGCTGAGGCAGGCTGAGGCTGAGGCCGAGGCTGAAGGCAGACTGAGGCTGAGGCTGCAGGCTGAGGCTGAGGCTGAGGCAGGCTGAGGCTGAGGCTGAGGCTGAGGCAGGCTGAGGCTGAGGCTGAGGCTGAGGCTGAGGCCGAGGCTGAAGGCAGACTGAGGCTGAGGCTGGCTGAGGCTGAGGCTGAGGCAGGCTGAGGCTGAGGCTGAGGCAGGCTGAGGCTGAGGCTGAGGCTGAGGCTGAGGCTGAGGCAGGCTGAGGCTGAGGCTGAGGCTGGCTGCAGGCTGAGGCTGAGGCAGGCTGAGGCTGAGGCCGAGGCTGAAGGCAGACTGAGGCTGAGGCTGAAGCAGGCTGAGGCTGAGGCTGAGGCAGGCTGAGGCTGAGGCTGAGGCAGGCTGATGCTGAGGCAGGCTGAGGCTGAGGCTGAGGCTGATGCAGGCTGAGGCTGAGGCAGGCTGAGGCTGAGGCTGAGGCAGACTGAGGCTGAGGCTGAAGCAGGCTGAGGCTGAGGCTGAGGCAGGCTGAGGCTGAGGCAGGCTGAGGCTGAGGCAGGCTGAGGCTGAGGCTGATGAGGCCGAGGCAGGCTGAGGCTGAGGCTGAGGCTGAAGGCAGACTGATGCTGAGGCTGAAGCAGGCTGAGGCTGAGGCTGAGGCTGAGGCTGAGGCAGGCTGAGGCTGAGGCTGACGCAGGCTGAGGCTGAGGCTGTGACTGCGACTGCCGTTGCCACTGCGACTGTCATCGCGAATGCGACTACGACTGCGAGAACAGAATTCTACAACTGGATTCTCATCTGAATCTTAAGGGGAGTGCTTCCTGATGTGCTCCTGCACATCGCTGTTAGGTTGCTTTGCCGGGATAATTTTGATGAGGGTAGAGGATGGGGTCCGAGTAGATGGGGTCGGAGGATCGCGCCGCATCGCCGATGCGTCGCCGACGCTGCTCGATGTGAAGCCCGATTTGCTTCACGTCGACGTCGCCGATGCATCGCCGCCGACGTCGACAATGCATCGCTGGTGCATCGCCGATGCATCGCCAATGCATCGCCGATGTATCGGCGATGCGGCGCGATCTCCCGACCCCATCTACTCGGACTCTATCTGGGAGGCCTCTATCACTTCGGCATCGGCGCTGGCAGAGCCGTGGTCGAAAACCGACCCAACCTGGTGCAGTCCAAAGTTCCCCAAGCAGTTTTTGCACTCAGAAGTTCTTGCTTGTGTGGAAAAACGATCTGGACCTGCGGGTCGGCTCGGCGGAGATGTAGCCGCCATCGCCGCCCCGTCGCCGCCTTGCCGTCGATGGCCGCCTGGGCCTGCACGTCGGTCTGGCGGCCATGCCGCCGCCGTCGCCGCCGCCGTCGCCGCCTCGTCGCCTCCCGTCGCCTTTGGTCTGTCGGCTATGTCACCGCCCCGTCGCCGCCTTGGCGCCGCCCGTTGTCTGGGCCTGCACGTCGATCTGGCCGCCATGCCATGTCGCCGCCGTCGCCGCCTCGTCGCCGCCCGTCGCCGCCTGTCGCCCGGGCCTGCGGGCCACTGTGGCTGCCACTGTCGCCGCCATGTTGCCGCCATGTTGCCGCCTCGTTGCCTCCCATCGCCGCTCGTGCTGCATGGTTTCGCATTGCCTTGCGTTGTTCGGCATTGCTTGGCATTACGTGGCATTGCGGTGCATTTCAGTGTATTGCTCTGCATTGCTCTGCGTTGCTTTGCATTTCTGTGCGTTACTTTGCGCTGTGTTTTTTTATGTTTCGCATTGCAGTCGATTGATGTGCATTGTTTTTGTTGCTTCTCGGTTTGCTCCCTAAATACTGTTCCACATTCTCCTGTCTACAGAGTATGAGGGTCTACCCCACCTCTGGGGCCAACGGGCCATCTTTTCGTATTGCAAATTACATATGAGTATGCCCCATCGTCCATCCTCAATTTGAACTCAGACCATCCCAGCCAGGCCGGTATCGCCCCCCAGTCCGTTTTCTTTAAGAAATGTTTTGCGCGCACACTCGTTAAAAAAAAACATCTGTTTCAATAAATCCCTTGCAAACATTGGGACGAAGTGCACACGCGAGCGTCGTCGTGCGCGCATGCCAAAATCTTTCAAACATTTTCGGTTTCGTGAGGTCAAAATCGAGAGTCACGAACACCTACTACAACAAAAAACATGGTTTCGCAACAAGGGTTTTCAAAAAAGCCTGCGCCCGCGCTCTTGCGAATTCTTACGAACACCATAGTTTCTTCAACATGTATCGAACATGCTACCAAGCGGGCCTCTCTCTCGCGCATGTCGAAATCGTTCGAACGCCCTTGCGCGTGTGTTGTCGCAAGAATCCGGTGCAACAAATGGGGCGAAGTGCACGAGCGCATCGTCGTGCGCGCATGCCGATATCTTTGAAAACCGAATGTTTCGTAAGGAATTCAAAAACGAGTGTCCCGAAAACGAATCACCACACAAGGTTTTGCAACATCAGTTTTGAAGAACATCCTGCGCTCGTGGTCGTGCTGATTCTTAACAAGGCCATAGGTTTTCGTCGCCCCCGCGACGCCGCCTGAACCCTCCAACCCCCCCTGCCGGATTTCTTTTCTTCCTTCCGCGGGGATCCACCTTCGCGGCGACTTGTTAAACCCGGGACTCTCGGCGGCGCAAGGGTTTTGTTTCTTCTGCCACGCGCGCATTGGCATTGGAGCTCCTGAACCCCTCGGGCTAGATTACACCAAGCACTTGAGTGCAACTGGTACCATCATGTGCTAGCGCACAGCTGCTCCCAGAGTGCACCTGGTCCTGCAGTACACCTAGTCCGATTGATCTGCGATTGAGGCGATTAGGCAAACAGTATCGATTCTTGAGGTCGGAATAAGGAAACACTGTAGGATCGCGACTTGGCAGCACGGAAGCAGAATAGAATCGCGACTCAGGAATAAAGAGACCGTACATAGTGTAGACTTCGGAAATAAGACATACAGTAGCGTGCTACGAATAATAATGCGATTTCCTAGTACAGCTACTAGTAGAGTGATGCTGCATTACATTCACAATTCGGGCTCTCGCGCATTTCCTCCTCTGGTTGCGCTGGGGTGGGTGGGACCCCGCGCGCCAGCAACCCCGCGGCCGAAAGTTCATTCCTCTTCGGGAATTCCAAGGCTGGGGTAACCGCGTGCCCGAACCGTTCTTCAAGGATTTACTTCTTCCGCAGTGACCGGACCCCCTGGGTTCCTCGGCGCACCCTGGGAGATCTTCCTGTCCTGATGGCCCCCCATAGGTTCTATCTTGGAGTCGCCCGGGTGATAGGTCTTCCAATATTTTCATCAAATTCTGCCAAGCGGGCCTCTCGCGCCGCATGTCGAATCATTCGAACGTTTTTGCGCGCGTGCCGGGGGGGGGGGGGGGCACGGTCCGTCTCAAATAATACCACGCGGTTTGGTCCTTTCGCGCGCGTCGGCTGCGCGCGCATGTCGAATTTCTTCAAAAACCATCATCGCCGAGGCGAGGACATCGTCATCGTTATCGGCGGGCGTGATCAACATCGGCGCCGTCATTGGCCTTGCCGTCGTCATCGCCACCTTCGTCACCATCGTCGCTATTATCATAATCTTGTCGACCGTTGCCGGCGTCGGCATGATGCCGCGCCCGCCCAAGTCACCAGCTCGCACTGAAGTTCCCGCTGGGCAGTGCTCAGCGGTCAACGCCACCGCGGCCGCGTCGGTCTCGCCAAAGTAGCTGGCCGCTGTGCGCGCGAGCATGCGCGGGCTAGCACGGCCGCAGAGACGCACCAATCAACGCCAAGCACTCATCGCAATCGCAGCCACATGGGTTTTGCATACCAAGTTGCGGCCGGGTGGGTGGGATGTTCACAAGGGCTTTGAATGTGTTAATTCATTTGCGAAAGTCAACTGCACAACATAGACTGCACCAGCTAAGTCGCACCACATCGACTGCACAACCGAGATTGCACAACACAGATCGCACGACGCATATTGCACCGCATAATTAGATTGCACTACTCAGGTAGCATCACATATATCGCACCACTTATAATGTACCACGCGTGTTGGACAGCATATATCGCACTTAATACACTTCACCACATCGATTGCACAGCACAGATTGCGCAACGTAGGTAGCACCACGTAGACTGCACATCATAAGTTGTTCCACGTACATTGCACCACATAGAATGCACCACCAACATTGCGCCACATAGATTGCACAACGTATATTGTACGAAACAACTGCACCATATAGATTGCGCCGCGAATCTTGTACTACCAAGATTGCACATGTATTGGTCCACGTAGATTGCTAGGGACACATTCCTTGGGGGCCACGCTGGCTAATATTGATTCCCGCACACCCTGGCTTCATCCCTTCTTTCAATGGGGGCAAATCCAGCTTGAGTGGCACTGACATCGGGCCTATCAGCCCGTCGCCGTTCTGACGAAGACCTCTCAGGAGTTGTTCACTGGCGACCCGACGTCGACGATGACGTCGACGACGACAAAGCCCCGCCCAGGGAGCCCACGCGACCCCACCGGGCCGCAAGGCCGCCGCCGCCGCGCGGGGCAGGCCGCCAAGGGCCGCGGACGCGGAGGAGGCCTTCCACGACGCGGAGCCCCGGGTCACGGCCGCGGAGCAGGCCGCGCGGCCGCGGTCTGTTGGCGGGCGTGGGCCGGGCCAGAGCGCCGTGCCGCTGTCTCAGCTGGCCCTCATGCGAGAGAACGGAGATGGCCTGGGGGGGGTCGCATTCCACCCGTACTCCCTCGAGTCATGAACAGCCCACAGCAATTCACGACGGGATGTTTTTGTTCGCTGTCCTCGGCCTCCGGAGGCCCTGACCGGGCCTCGGGCCCGTCAAGACACCAGGGGAACATGTCGAGACTTTGGGGGGTCGACCTAATGGGAAGGACATGACGTAGGGGTCTGGGCATACTCCCCGTCCAGAAGCCCTCGAGCAGCTTTCCAGCTCCTCGATGATGGAGTCGACGATCACCTTCTTTGGGCAGTCCGTGACGGAGCCGCTTGGGCGACGGTCGCGGAGGAGTCGGAGAGGGGGTTGGTCGTTCACCGCTGTCGAGCTGTCAGAGACGGGAGTCGATGCAAACGGAGGTGCAGCCAGAGCGCTGGATCTTGCAGGATCCTGCAGAGTCAGGGGTGCTTTGACCCGGGCTAGCGCGAAGGATCCTGCAATATCTTGCAGGAATTTGCAGGATTTTGCACAGCCTGGTTGACCCGGGTTTGTATTGACCCGGGTCGGTGCATTTCCGACGTTGTTCCTTGCTTCGAGGGGGGAGGCCCTCAAGGATCGAGCAGTGCCAGGGGATGTCACCACTAGGGGTGTCACCATCCTGGAAATCGTGGGTCGAGGAGGGGGGGGGATCAAGGATCAAGGAGGCTTTGGACGTGTTTGCGGGTCTCGTGGAGTCCTGGGAGGTCCAGGGGGGTCCTTTTTCTGGATGCGTTGGTGACCCCCTTAATTAGTGGTGAACCCCATGTGCGTTTATCAAGGACACGAAACATTTGATTAGGGCGTAACGCTGGATTGGCAACGGATCCCAGTCCCATACGAAATCAACGCGCATCGTTGCAAAATGAGGCGGCGCTGGTCTCATGTTTCGGGGTGTGCCTGACCCGATCCGTGGTCCTGGCGCTCACGTGCCATGGCCACGGACCCCTCATTGATGCTACCGCGTGCCCGAGAAGAAGAGGAGGAGGAGGAGGAGGACCAGTGTAAACCCAAGACGCATCAACGATGCAATCAACCCTCCCTCCTAGTACCCTGTCTTACGTGCTACAAGACTGGACAGGAGTGCTCATTGCGGGAAGCGCCCCAATGGAGGACAACCGACTGAGAATTCCCAAGACGTCAGCGCCGCCAGTCAACGTGATTGTTGCGTCTTCAGTATCCTAAATCGTGACAGAGCTTAGGATTTCTACATCGGGAATCAACGTGATTGCTGCGTCCTGCAAATTCTCAAACGTGCCAGAACACCAATCCTCGGACGTTCACCAATTTTCACCAGGCGAATCCTGGAGCTTTCTGCAAGCGTTCAAGACGGATGCGCGCGGCGCTAAGGGGAGAGCCACATGTTGAAAACCGCCCACCTTATATCCGTGAATCTGCTGCAAACGTTCAGACGAATGTGCATGGCGCTGAGGCGAGAGCAACATTTTGGAAAGGATCCGCATGTGTGTGCGGGGCGCTCAACATCGAGAACAACATGTTGAAAAGCATCCGCCCTTCATCCGCAAAACAGTTGCACATTTCCAGCTTCAGGATCATACATGGTGAGGAAGTCTCGGGCGAAACGCCCTGCCTGCCCTACTTGACGTCTGGGTGTGCGACAGGGGGATGAGTTATACTTGCAAGGCCAGGGGCTGGTGGAGGAGGAGGATGAGAAGGAGGAGGAGGAGGAGGAGGAGGAGGAGGAGCAGGAGGAGGAGGAGGAGGAGGAGGAGGAGGAGAGTGGCGGAAGCTGGGGATTCTGGGCGGAGGGGCGGAGAAGGAGGGGGGCGGAGGAGGGGGTGTGGGGGGCGGGAGGAAGGAAGGAAGAGGAGGAGGAGGAGGTGGAGGAGGAGGAGGAGGAGGAGGTGGAGGAGGAGGATATGGAGGAGGAAGAGGAGGAGGAGGAGGAGAAGTAGGAGGAGGAGGAGGAGGAGGAGGAGGCGGGAGGAAGGGGGTGGAGGCGGTGGGATGGGAGAAAGATCGAGATCGAGGATCGAAGTTTTCTGGGCGTTGTGTCGTCGTCGCGGTCTCAAGACGGGCAGGCGAGGGGAGGTGGATAGGCGGAGGAGACTGGGGGTAGGGGGAGAGGGAGGATCGAGGACGAGGATCGAGGGTTCTGTGCGTTCTGCTCTGGTATCTGGGGTGCCTCTGCAGGGGAGGAGGAGGAAGGCCAATGCCTTGCCTGAGCTGGGGAGCCAGAAGGGGCTGTATGGTGTGACAGGCCGTGGGGGAGGCGGCCGGAGAAGCTGAGGCGGCCGCACGGCGGAGGTGGGGGCGATCGAGGAAGGGAGGGATAGGTAGAAAGGTTGGCTGGCAGTCAGTCATGGGGTCATGGGCATATTTTGGAGGAAGCGGGAGGAGAAGTCCCAGCTCGGAAGAGGCCCCCGCGGGGGGGGGGGGGCAGGACACCAAGAGGTCCAGCCTACTTGCAAATGACACTGGAGGAAGGGGGTTGAGAGCGTCAGCAGCAGGCGCAGCAGGAGCCAGGCACTCGTCCTGCCTCGCGCTCGTCTGCTGTCCCTGCTCGGCGCACCTTCGCGCGCATTGCCACCTTGTCTCGCCGTTGCCCCCCGCTCCACACCCCCTCCTCCCCGACCTGCTGCTCCTCCCCTCCCGCCCCCTGCCCAGATGGGGGCGAGGCAAGGGCTGCGCTCCCGGGGATCCCAATCCTGTCGTCCAGTCACGGGGCCCCCCACGGAGGCTGCAGGCTATGGATCATCCGTGGCCGCGTGGTGGAGTTCGCACGAAGCGCACCGTCTGATCGGATGCAATCCCGCCTCCCCCCCTCCACTCCTGCCAACGCCAGCAGGCCGCCTTCCCTCGGCCCGCTGGCGCTCTCGCAGGCCCATGCATTACCCTGCCTGACTCTGGGTCGTGAGCTTGCGGTGGCGGACGTGGCAGGTCCTCTTCGACTCCAGGCGCGCCATCCGCATCCTCGCGCACGGAGTGCATCGGAGCGCCGCCCCCCGCCTCCCTCCGGCCCCCAGCCCATCGACTGCCCGCGCCCCTGGCTGCTGCCTCCCCCCCCCCGGGGTGCAGCTCCTCGGCTGGCCCCCGGAGGCTGCACGTGGGTCCTGCCGCACCGCTCGCGCGAGGGAGCCGACGAGACAGCCCACGCGCGAGGGAGCGGAAGCGCCCACCCGCCCCTCCCTCCGCGCTCGCCCCAGCCCGCGCGCGAGGGAGCCGAAGCGTCCAGGCCCAGCCCACGCGCGAGGGAGCCGAAGCGCCCACCCGCCCCTGCCTCCGCGCTCGGCCCAGACCCCCGCGCGCCGTGAAAGCAGCACGGCCAGAGGTTCTGTTGCGTGTGCTCGTAGCGCACGCTGTGGGGCCGCAGGATGCCCACGCGGAGCCGCAGGGCTGTGGCCCTCCTCTGCTCTCCTCCCCCCGTCTCGCAGGCCCCCCGGGCTCGGGCTCGAGCTCGCCCCTCCCTCCGCGCTCGCCCCGGACCCCCTCGCGCAGGGGAACACCACGCCACCAAACGTTGTTAAGATGTTCAGCCTCGCAGGGCCCTCGCCGGGCCCCAGGGCCCATGAAAACGACTCGGAATAAAGACGGGTCCCTGGGAAGGGGCCCAGACCTCTGGAGGTCCACGTTGCGCAAAAGCAGGCCCGACGGCGACGGAGGCGAATGCAGACGGCGTCGACGGATATATTGCCGACGGTCAAGCCGACGACGTCGAAGCTGACGACGCCGACGACCGCGACTCCGAAGACGAACGACGACGACGACGACGACGACGACGACGACGTCGACGACGACGACGACGACTGCGGCAACCACGACGACGCCGACGACGACGCCGACGTCGGCGACGACGCCGACGTCGGCGAGGACGGCACCAGCGACGACGGCGTCGGCGGCGGCGGCGACGACGAAGGCATCGACGACGGCGTCGGCGGCGGCGGGCGCCTCGCCAGGCGGACCTCGAGCGGCGCGTGGCCGCGTTCGTGGCCGAGCGCCGGGGCGAGGCTGCGGTCGGCGGCGGCGACGCGCTGAGCGAGGACCTGCAGGCTCGCCGCGGCGACGCCGCGAGGGTCGAGGGTCGAGCTTTTGCTCTGGGGCGGAGCTGGGCCTCCCAGCAGGGGTCCGAGTGGATGGGGTCGGAGGATCGCGCCGGCGTCGCCGATGCGTCGGCGGTGCGGCTCGATGTGGAGCCCGTTTTTCTCCACGCAGGCGGCGCCGATGCAGCGCCGACGTCGTGGGTGCACTGCCGATGCATCGGCGATGCACCGTCGACGCGGCGCGATCCTCCGACCCCATGGACTCGGGCCCCATCAGGGAGGCCTCTACTGTTGATCTTGCAAGGGAGGGCGAAAGATCGAAGAAGAGAGAGCTGCGTGAACACAAACTTTCGGAGATCCGCACGGATTTCTCGGATCAGCGCCAGTGCCCCCTGGCGGCGTCTCCAGCTCCGATCCCAGAATTTCGCCCCTATGTTTGTTCCTCTGAAGTAGGAGGAGGATGTAAGATCGAGGAGGTGGATCGAAGATCGAGGAGGATCGAGGAGCGAGGGTCGAGGAGGGTAGAGAGTCGAGAATGGAAGGTCGAGGAGGAGGATCGCGGATCGAGGAACGAATATGGTCTTGAGTACTGTTCTTGAGTGTTTCTAGCCCCTCGTGGGCCTCCAAGGGGGCCTCCCTCCCAGGTCCTCCGCGGGAACGCTCCGGAGACATCCGCAGACCATCGGCCGGGGCCAGAACGCTGGCGCACCCACGAAAACGGCAGCCGTGGCTCGAAGCATTCTTACTTCTCCGTTTTGTTTAGTCAGGACTCGCAGAAAAAGGTCCTGGCTTGCAACGTCCCGGTTTCCACGGGTCTCTCATCTGGGTGGGGGGATCGAGGAGTGAGGATTGAGGACCTCTTGCGCTGAGGGCCGGGGCTTGCAAGCTTCGAGGCCTCAGTTGTCTGTTGGGGCTTGCGCAGGGCTTTCTCCGTCTGGACGCAGTTCGGAAAAGATCCAGGGAGGGGTGCAGCCACCGACTTTGAGCGAACACGGACGGGCCGACGGAGTGCAGGGGAGACCCATGCCAAGAAACACCCTGCTTGCCCCCAGGGTGCCCTGGGTTTCTTGGGTTTCCATGGCTTTGCAAGGGAAAGCGTGACGTTCCCACACCACCAATCGATGGGCGTCCTGGGGTCTCAGGGTTAGGCTTCTTGTGGAAGGTTTCTGGTGGACTGGCCTCCCCTGCCTCGAGGATCGAGGCTTTTGGTTGTCTTTGTGCTTTTCGAAGCCTCCTGGGCCGCCCTCGTCTCGCCACGGCCTGGGTCCGCCTCCGACGCCTGGCAGGGGGGCTCTCAAACCTCCGGCGCCACGAGGAGGCATCGCGGCGGCCGGTCGTTCCGCAAGCTCGGCCTCCCGTGTGCCCGCTTCGGGTCGCCCCAGCTGTTGCCGCGCCTTCACTGCCCTGGCTGGCCGCTCCAGCCCGCCCACCGCGGAATTCTTCCGCTTCTGAGCGCCTACCTTCTTCTCCCCCCGCGCGGCCGCCCTCTCCTCCCTCTGGTTCTCTTGCACGCCGGACGATTCGCCTATCGGTGCCCCGGGTTAGCCACACGCTGGTGCAGATTGCCTCCGCCTCGCCGCGGACGAAAGCTGCCCGCTTCGGGCCCCTGGTGAAGGCCCCCTAGACGTGGATTCTGATAAGCCAGGGCATGGAAGCACCCCAGAGAACGGCAGCCGTTGGTCGAAGCATTCTTCTGTTGTCAGCTTGCCGATGTAGGTTGCAGGAAGTCTTGGCTTGCAGTGTCCTGGATTCCATCGGATCCACGGGATTATGGGGCCCACTGTCCGTTCCCTCCAGGTTGCGGGGCTAGGACGAGGATAAATCCGTTCTAGAGCGTTCGGGAACGCTCTCAGAGCGTTCGGGGATGGTCTGAGAGGGCGCGGCGCCCGAGACATCCTCCAGAGCCGCGGGATCTCCGAGATTCTCGATGTATCCTCGCCCGAATGGTATCCTCGTCCTGGCTTCGTCTCACAGGTGGGATCTCCAGAGTCCTGGCCAGCACCGTCCTGACTGCAGCCCGGGCCCGTGGGGTCTGCGCGCCTCGCTGGCAGTCTTGCGTCGCCGCTGGCGGGGTGGGCGATGGGGCTCAGAACCTGCCCCGCCCTCGGCACACCTTCCGGGGAAACGTAGGACTCGAGTGCGCCGGGACGCGGGTGTGCCGACGTTTTTGCTGACGAGCGCGCCCTGGACTGTTTGACGGCCCAGTGTTCGTGGGGTGTCTGCAGCGGGAGCTCGCGTCAAAATTCAGACTGGGTCTCGTCATTTTCATGATGGCCCCGTCAGGCCAACCCGAGTCGCCCGATCCCGACCGAGTCTGACGTCTCCCAGAACCTTCGGAGCAGGCGCGAGTGCTCCTCCTGTGGGCGGGGCCGTCTCTCGAGGGAGGGAGCAGGATGCCGACGACCAGCACGTCGCGGGCTCCCGAGGGCGCCGATCGCGGTCGTGGTCCGTGCTGGCCGTCGCCGCTCCGCGAGGAAGGCCCGCGACTTGACGGTGCCGACGTTTCCGCGTTCAGTCTGGGAAAGGGCCCTCGCTCTCGTTCTCTCCAGCCTGCGAGGCCCGGTGCCTCGCTCGCAGGCTCTGAGAGCCTATCCTTCGTTCCCTGCACGTTTCCCCTCTCGTCTCCCCTTCTGCCCGTCTCCTCCCTTTTTTCCCTTCCTTTTTCCTCTCCCCCTCATCTCCCCCTCCTCGCCGCAGCTTCAACTCAGCAGCAGCAGCATCTGCAGAACTGGTGCGCACACGTGAGCAGCATTGGCGGCGCTGGCGATGTCATTGACAGCAGCGGTGGTGACACACAGAGCAGCGTCTGACATGTTCAGCGTCAGGGTCAGGGGGGGACATTGCGGGGCGGGTGCGCGAGGAGGCTGCAACGGAAACGTTGGAGTTCTTGCAGGACCTCCGCGGAGAGGAGGGATGTGGTTTGATGAACCGATCTGACAGGTCCGCCGCCGACATTTCCTCCGCCGGTAGAACAGAGCGACTGCAGTGGTTCCATGCTTTCTGGCTTTGGAGGCCCGTTTCGGGCCCCGTTGCCGTGAACAACGACCCGAACTTGCTTGTCGCCGCGACGGGGGCTTGCAGGGGGCGCTTACCTCGTGGAAGGCGCGTGGATTAGCGACGAGCCCCGCTTCAGTACAACATCGGGCGTCCCGTCGAAAAACGAGGCGGCATTGGCATGTTGCGGGGAGTGAGTTCTCAATCTGTCTTAGCGTGCGCCCGTTCACCAGGATTACATCCATATCTGCTCCTCCTCGGCGCGGATGTAATCGGGGGCGCAGGACCTGGTCGGACAGCAAATTCCCCGTAGGCGCGCGGGCGAGCAGGTCCTTTTTTGCATGCTGAAGCCATCCTCTGACCCGTTGAGCACAGGCGGCCCAGATCAGTAGGTCGACCTTGCCAGATCAAGGGTACCCTCATGTCCTGTGTCTTGCGGCCCATGCCTCCTGCAGTTCTTTGGCAACGTGGCCCTCGGAAGGGTCTCGTGTCCTCTCGCGTGTCCTGCCCAATCGAGTCCGACTGTGTACATTCGCAGCAACGTGCGGGACCGCCGAGTGCACGTGCGAGCATGGAGCGCGACCAGCCTTGTCGCATGGTGCTCTCCAGAAGGGGGCCTCTCCTTCGAGGGAGCGAGAGGTCGGCGTCTCTTCCTCGGCGGAGGGCAGCAGAAGGCGGCGGAAGGCGGACGGACGCAACACGAGGGCGCCTCCGCCAACGGAAGCCTGGCGGAAGCCGGCCGAAATGCAAACGGTGTGTGCAAGAGGTGTCATGCCTGGGGGATTGGGGGTGGATGGAACTGGCCACGCACGTAGCTCCCCCTTGCGCGCTCGCTGCGTGCGCCCGCCTTCCTGGAGCAAGGTCGGCGTCACCCCAACATACTAATGCTATGCGTGCGTCGACCGCCCCCAGGGGCGACGCGCGCACCGAGAAGACTTACAGCACATGCGTCGTGGCGGGCGCTTTCCGGCCACGCCTCTTAGGAAACGATATGCGACAAGATGGGTCTACTACATGTACGCGTTCGGGTCGGAAGCGCGCCTCCAAGGAGGACATATAGCATTAGTAATGTCCCTGTGCGTCCCACAAGGCTCCGCCGCCGTAGCGGTCCGCGGGTTGGGCTGCGAGCGTCCTCCAGCTCGGAGCACCTCGCTTGGCACCTCCGCCGGGCAGGAATTTGCAGCCGTGCCCTGTGACGCTAGGCTAACGCGCGCCGCGGCGCGCCGAGGGGGATAGCGAGACGCCTGGGCCTCCTCGGAAGGCGGCGGTGTTTCTCGGAAGCCCTCCGGCCTCTGAGAAGCTTCTGCGTCGTCGGAGAAGGCTCTGAGAGCTTCCCTCGAAGAAGAGACAACGGCACAGACATAAACTTTTGGCGCTCCGCGCAGATCCAAGAAATTTGCGCGGAGCGCCAAAAGTTTATATCTATGCCGTTTCTTCTCCTTCTTACGTAATCAGAAGGCTGGAGGGCTTCTGAGCTTCTGCCACCTCCGCCCTCCCCCCCTGAGCACGACGCCGAGCCGAATCCCTCGGTCTCGCGATGTTGTTCACAGTGTGGGCCGCCAGAGGCATCGATACCCTCGGGGACAGACATTTTATCCTGAGTCCCAGGGGCCCGTGATGGGCCCCTGGAGGCCACAAGTGGCCCAAAACGTTCCGTCGTGATTGTTGTTCGCGGCACGAAGGGGTCCGAAAGTGAGTTCGGAATTCCTGGGGCGGGCGTGACCGTCTCGCCGAAGACTCGGAGGCCCCCCCCAGACGGTGCGGTTACCACACCGTGTGGTGAATCGGTGGGGATTCGGGGTGGCCGCACGATTTGGGGACTTGGGTCGTTCTCCGAGGGTATCTCGGGCGGCTGGGGCTTCCGAGGTCCCAAGACAGTTCGGTGACGGACCGCGCAGTGAAGTCTCCGAGGATTCCGAGGTCACCACACGGTCTGTCACCGCACCGTCCTGGGACGACCACGCAATGAGTGGGAGATCGACTGCAGAATTGATTCACCCCACAATGGTTTTTGTTCGTCGAACCTGCAAACGCTCTACATAGCTGGTGTAGACTCTGCGAACATTTCAAGTCTGGGGTACATCAACTCTGTAGTCGACCTCCTACTCGAATGCAGCGGGGGTCGGTGCGGCCGTCGCGCCCAAGAGGCGGGGCGGCCAAGACGTATAACTTCTCGGCGGGCCGCTCGACGAGCCCGAGGCTGGCCGCGCAGGGGCGCTCGGGGCGTTTCGTTGCCCCCCCCAAAATAAAACAGGCAACCGAGATGAGCAAGATCAGCAGTCTGATCTCCTCCTCCCTCCTTCTCCTCCTACCTCCCTCCTCCTCCTCCTCCTCCTCCTCCTCCTCCTCCTCCTCCTCCTCCTCCTCCTCCTCCTCCTCCTCCCTCCGTCTCAGTCCTTACTCCTCCTCCTCCCTCCTGCTCCCTTCATTTTCCTCCTCCTCCCTCCCTCCCTCCTCCTCCTCCTCGAGATTGTTGTTTTTTTATCGCCCTCCCCCCGCCGTAACGCTTGTCACCTCGGGTCTGCCCCCCCCCCCCGTAACGAAACGATCGTACGGCGGACGGTGGCGCGAACCCCGCCCCCCCGCGCGCGCGGCTGTCGCGGTGTACACATGGTGGCGCACACACACACACACACATACACACGCTGTTTGTTGTGCACGCAGACGCTGTGGTGTACACCGGCGCTGTGTTGCATGCGGCAGTTGTGGTGTACGCCGGCGCCGTGGTGCGCGCGCAAGCACCCTTGCGTTGGTGACGGTAGATGGTCCTCCCTCCCACCATCTTCTTCTCGTCGCAGGCCCCAGTTGTGCTCGCGGGCTGCGGCGACGGCGGCGGCGGCGACGGCGACGGCGACGGCTCGCAGCTTCTCGGGCATCCCGCGACGACGACGCGCACGGCTACAGCGGTACATACGGCAACGGCTTTGTGATGCACTCGGTTGTTGTGGCGTGCGCGTGCCGCTTGGTGTGCACTGGAGTTGTGGTGCACGCGGGCCCTGCGACGCAGGCAAATAGGCGCTCCATTCTGGTGCACGTAGGCAATGTGAAGCACACAGGCACTGTTGTGTACAACGGCGCTGTGTTGCACACGGCTGCTGCAGTGTTGTACACAGGCGCTGTGGTGCACATAGGCACTTCGGTGTACACACGCGCTACGGTGCACACGGCTGCTCTGGTGTACACGGGCGCTGCGGTGTACACAGGCGCTGTGGTGCATGCAGGCACTGCGGTGTGCACCGGCGCTGTGTTACACACGGCTGCTCTGGTGTACACGGGCGCTGCGGTGTACACAGGCGTTGTGGTGCACGCAGGCACTGCGGTGTGCACCGGCGCTGTGTTGCACACGGGTGTATGCAGGCGCTGCGGTGTGCACAGGCGCCGTGCACAGGCGCCGTCCGTGCATAGGCGCTGCGGTGCACGCTTCCCCCCCCGCCCCCCCCCCACCCCCCACCTCACTCGTTATCTTACCCCCCCCGTCCCGCCCGCCGTAACGTACTTTATGGGCTCAGATTTCTGTAGATTTCTGTGTTATTCATTTTTTATTATTTTTTATTTTTTTTCCAAAAACAAAAAAAAACGCTCTCCTCCTCCTCGTCCTCCTCCTCCTCCTCTTCCTCTTCCTCCTCCTCATCCTCCTCCTCCTCCTCCTCCTCCCCCCCCTGAGGTGCTGTGTGGCGCGACCTCCTCGGCAAGGAAGCGCGGCTTCAGGTCGGGGTCCAGGGGCCCAGGTCGAGTCACCGAGCAGAGTCTTGTTTGGCGAAGGGCTGACAGCCAAGACGCTGAAGCAAGGATCACTTCGGGCTCGGTTTTCGGGCCTCCTTGGTCTCCAGATGTTTTTCAACGGCGAGCCACGGACTTGAGGACTGCTGTTCTACCATCAGCAATGAGCACGACACGTGAATGAGTCCCCCGTTTTTGAGACGCAGGTACTGGTTCCTACGATCGTGGCACGCGGGTGCACAGCACGATGACGTTTGCCACCACCTGCGCCCTTCATGGGCTCGCCTTCCGGCGCACGGGCTTGACCTTGACTTTGACCTCCTCGGATCCAGATCAGGGAACCCATTCGTGGCTGAGGCTCACCGTGGCCAGAAAAGCTTCTTCAGCGTCTCTTTGCATGGTAGCACAATGTCTGCAGGGTGGAGTCCACGGGAGCTTGCACCTCGAGAATCCATTCGCCCAGAGGCTTGATGATTTGCAGGATGAACCGCATGTAGCGCATGAGCGTCGGTTCAGGATCCTTGGGGCCCGGGGCGAGCCGAAGACAGGCAAGTGCATAAGTATACATGTTCGGAGGTCCGTGCGCAGTACATCTCTTGGAGCGGCGCTGGCCCCCCTCCCCCTTCCCTCCCTCGCTCTGGCTCTCTTCGGTGCCGCTCCCCCGCGAGGACAGGGAGAGCGCTGCGGAGCAACTGCCCCGGCTTCTGGCACCCACCGGGGAGGGGGAGAGGGAGGAGCAGGAAGCTGCGGGCCAGTCGAGGCCCCAGATCTCCGACGATCTCTCTTCTCTCGATCTCCGCCTGTGGCCTCGGCTTCGGCCTCTGGGGCCGTTCTCGGGCCCCGGGACCCTCAGCACTGGATCCGGGACGAACCAGTGGCACGCATGCCCCGGCGCTCGCACGAGGGAGCGGCGAGGGCCCAGGAGGAGCGTGGGGGCGACGTGCATGGAAGGCATAGAGAGGTCCGAGATCGACGGCGAGAATGCAGGAATCTGGAGAGCCCTGGGGGGAGATTGGGAGTCTGGTTGGCTCGAAAGGGGGTCCAGCGAAAAGGGGCTGGTGCAATAGATCTGGTGCAATACGTTTGCGAAATTACCATAAATCTGGGGCATACATAATACATTCGGGTGCGCAAACATGTTTTGCTGGATTTTCGCGCGCAATACATTGGTTGCAGTACAATGCAAAGCAATGCTGTGGCGCAAAAGAAAAAACATGCAATACGACTGCCTCACATCTATTGCACCATCCCTTGGCAGCTGGACCCCCTCCTGGGTCAACCAGCAGGGAGGCCAAGGGATGCCAGCGCAGGCAAGGGAGGCCAGAGACCAGGGCTGCCCGGGAGGCCGGGGAGGTCAGGGGCTTGCCTGAAGTCGGGCACGTCCCTCTACAGGAGGAATATTCAAAAATAGGAGTATAACTAGTCTGGGGATTATGTTTGACTAGTTCCGTTTCTTTTTGATGAATTTGGGAGTATTTTTTCTGTTCGTCCAAAGTCCGCCTGTAGGAAGACATGCCCGACCCAAGGCCTGCCAGGAAGGCCAGGGAGGCCAGGGGGACCGAGGCCACGACGACACGGCACGACACGATACCTCGACCATCGGGTGATGCTAGAAGCGCCCCCGGCCCACGGTGCCCCAAGGATTTCCAAGGAGTCCCCAACGGCCTCCAGAGCACCCCTCACGAGCCCCCGGGGCTCCAAAATGGAGCGAACATCTGGGGGCACCTGGGCCAGGAGCACTCCTAGCAACACCCGACTACGGGATCGACTACAGAGTTGATTTACCCCGAATTTAATGTTTCCCGTCGGATCTACGAGAAGTGCATCGAATGCTCCGTAGATCTCGGAGCATCCTACGCATTCCTCGCAGATTCGACTGAGAAATCAAGTTTGGGGGTACATCGATTCTGCAGTCGATCCCCTGCTGGAACCATGATGACAGCAAAAAGACGGCAACCCGAAGCCCCTGGGGGAGGGAGGGGGCGGGGGGGGGGGGGGGGACAGGGCCCGGGGAGGCCAGGGAGGCCAGGGGGAGACCCGAGGCGGCCACGACGGCACGGCACGACGCGACGGGGCGCGACGACGACGACGAGCTCGAAGCAGTGCGAAGCCCTGGGAGGTGCTGGCCGGGGGCCAGGGGAGGCCAGGTCGGGCGCTGCTCGGAGTGCCCCTGGCCCAGGGTGCCCCCCAGGATCTCCAGGGAGGCCCCCACGGCCTCCAGAGCACCCCTCGCGAGGCCCAGGGGGCCCCAGGGTCTCCAAAGCGGAGCGAGGCGCTGGGGGGCACCTGGGGCCAGGTGCACCTTCGGCAACCCCCGACCAGGGAGGTCGGGGGGCCATGGCAGGCCGCGACGACACGACGACGACGACGACGACGACGACGACGACGACGACGACGACGACGACGACGATGACGACTAAAGTTCAGCAACGCGAAGTCCTGGGGCGGGCCAGGGCCAGGGGAGGCCAGGGCGGCTGAAGGCCGGGGCTGCCACCCACGACTGGACGGAGAGAAGGCGATCCGAGCTCTGGAGTACGAGTGCGCAAGAGAGCAGCCACCCACCGAGGAGGGGGGATGGGGCCAAGACCTCCAACGCACTGACAGCATCAAGACGTATTTTGGTCCGTCGTTGTCGGCGTCTGACGGCCCTCGCTGGGCCCCGGGACTGTCAAATAAATACTCAGAATGAGAAGCCGGCCCCCAGGGAAAGGATCGGGCACCCCGTATTGAAAGAATCAAGTCTGGATGCGGGCGAGTCGAGACAGCGGCAGCCCTTGCCGGAATTTGCCTGTCCTTTTTTGGGGCCTCGTGGAGGAGGCCTCTCGCTGAGAGATCTGTCAGGAGAAGCACAGGGAAGGGGGTCTGGGGACCGATTTTGAGCAGATGGGGGCCGGACGGGAGAGTCGCCGTTGTCTCAGCTCGACTTCTCCCCAAAACAGGGTTTGGCCGGGGGGGGGGGTGCAGCGGCTCCCAGGCCCCAGGAGGGGCCGAGAAGGGCGCCGCCGTCCCGCACGCGTGCCAGCTTTCCCCCGCTCGGGCTCCAGGGGGCCTGCACCATGGTGGAGTGCGTGCCGCGGGCACCTGCTGACCACGTGCTCTGCGGGTGGCACCCCATGCTTAAAGCTGGCCCGTGCCACGACGTGGTGTGCGGTGGGCTGCATCACCGCGCTTGCGCCACGGGTCCGCCTGGTGGGTCTTGCCTCGTGCGCATTGGCGCTGGGCGCGAGCATGAATCCATGTTGGTTTCGAGAGTGCGCATCGCGCGGACGTTCTCATCACGCGGGCGGTCTCGCGGATTGGGGGGCCGTGTTCATGTACGTGGTTGGGCGCGTACATCTTTATGGACAGCCCAATGGCTGAGGCGTCCGCGCCTCATTACGCCGGGCGCTCCTGGTCGCGTCGCCCTGGAGGCCCTGAGGGGGTGACGACGTGCGCGGCGGGACGCAGCGGGCTTCTGGGCGAAAGTGCCTCGAGCGACAACTGCTAATCGCCCATTCGTCGCTGCTCTGCGCTTGGGGCGCCTATCCCTGCTGTCTGTTTCGCAACCGTGCCTGCCGGCCGCTGCCGCTCAAAAAGTGCAAATCGTGATCTGACTCACAGCTTGGAGCCCCAGTGGTCTGGACCCCTTCCCTAGCACCCGCTCTTCATCCCGAGCTTCTTCTGACGGCCCCGCGGCCCTGCGAGAACCCCTTGGAAGCCGAAGACGTCCAAAGACCTCCTGCCGTTCTTTCTGGGGTGACGCGAGGGGAGCTCCTCATGCCCCCCTCCCTCCCTCCCCCCTGGAGCCAGGCCACGCTGACCCAGTGGCTCCCTCCCTCCCTCCCCCTCCCTCCCTCCTCCCCCTCCCTCCCCCTCCCTCCCTCCCGCCTCCCTCCCTCGCTCCTGATGCCCCCTCCCTCCCCCCTCCCTCCCTCCCTCCCTCCTGGAGCCAGGCCACGCTGACCCAGTGGCTCGACTGGAGCACCCGCGCGGAGCTGGCGCCGGTACCGGGCGCCTCGCAGCTGCTGGCCAGGGTGCCGGAGGCACGAGACGCGCAGCGGCCCCGAGAGAGCTCCCCGGCTTTTCCCCGAGAGCGGTGCGGAAGCCGTTCTCGGAGGAGGAAGATGTATTCTGGACCGCTTAATACAGTGGGTCGACGAGCGCGTTCCACCTACTCGCAAAGTAACTACTCGCAAATGGCCTGGATCCCTCGCTGGGGATCTACGAAAAATTATATCAAAGCAGACAGTTGTTTTCCGGACGTTTACGAGTAGGCACTTTGCGAGTAGTGGAACGCGCTCAGCGAGCGGGGGCGCGCATCAAGAAACCATATACTTTTCGTCAGGGTGCCCTGGGTTTCTTCGCTCCGCGCGCTGCGCGGTGGCTTCCCACGGCCGTCAAAGGAGCTGCTGCGTTCAGAGCACCCCGTGTTCTCCCTCAGTTGCACCTCGCGCGCGGGTTTTCAGGGTTGGGTTTCTTGCGAGGGTTTCTTGCGACCGCGCCCGCACTGTAATCGCCCCCCCCTTGGAACCCGTTTTTTGACCTCGATCGGGACAGCCAGAAGTCGACCCTGGATGAACAACCTGCTGGGATGAGCCGTGGGAGGAGCCCAGTGACATATTCTGAGCTGATCGTGGCCAGCGGAGGAGGCACAAAGTTCTACCACCCAGGTTTTCTAGGTTTCTTTGCATTCCGATGCGGCCTCCTGAACCGCTCTCGTCGCCACGGCCAGATCCGCCCTGAAGTTCTGCCGAGAGCGCGCCCGTGGGCAGGCCCAGAGCGCCACCGGCTTTCGGAGGAGGGTAGGGGGTTGTGTGGGGGTTGGTCGACCGCTTCGAGGAGGGGCCAGGGAGAGCTCTTCGAGGAGGGAGTCACCGTAATTTCTAAGTTTTGCTGCTCTCTCTGTCTCTTTTCTTGTTTTTGTTTTCTCTGTCTCTCTCTCTCTCTCTCTTTCTCGGGAGGGCGCTTCGGCCACCAGGGCGTGCTCCGCCTCCGTCGCAGGGGCTTGCCGTGGGGATTGCCTCGGCGCTGGCTGTGACTCCTTGGGCGCGGGACAAGTACGATGAGCGCAAAGACAAGGACCGGACCTACTTCAAGACCAGCGACGTCAACGACGCGGGGGAGCACTACATCAAGTGGTACCAGCATTAGCTGCTCAGGTTCTACAAGGCCTCGGGTGACTACGCTGCGGATACCTACACCATCGATCGTAGGCCAGGCATGGTCCACGACGCGGCAAACGAGTTGGCACCAATCAGCCACAACTTCATGTCCCCGCACACTTACCCGCAGATTGCCAACGTGAGGTTCTATTTCGGGCCCAGCGGCGACTTGGTGCATACCGAGATACCTACGACGGAAAATTTGCTCATTGGCGCCTTCAAGATGACGGTACAGGCTAAAATATTTGAGCAGATGTGCAATTACGATGGGGAGTATTTGGGTCAAACTGTGACCAACGCTTCTGCAAGCAGGACGACGTCGTGCCCATGATTGCCAACTTGCACTACATGCCGTACATCAACGATGTCTGTTAAGTCACTACCACACTCGCATCTACGATAAGTTCAGCGAGTACATCGGGGATTGCGAGTGGCAGGGCGACAACCACAACTACGACGATTGGAAGCTCGTGAGGTTTCTGGATACCACCCTCAAGAACCACTACATCGGCGCCCCCCCCGCTGCTGGAGGGTGCCGACGCAAAGTGCGGCAACCTGGCGTACTACCCCGAGATCGATCGCGATGACCTCAACAATGGCGAAGATTATGACGAGGACTGCGACAAGGACAACAAGGACAAAGAGGACAAGGACGAGGAGAACGCCAAGTGCTACAAGATGTTTGGGATCATAGGCAGCACGGGAACGCCATCCACCAGGACGAGCGCCACTGGCCGTCCTATGCGAGGCCGCCGTGCTTCGGCGAGGGCACCGAGCGCTACAACAAGCACATCTTCTGATCGCTGAGTTTACATCATTATCCCACTCCTCACACCGCCATCCATCAGCTCATCAGGGCACTATAGGCTTACAACGTGTGCGCGAACGAAGGCACCGCAGGACAGCCGCAAGGACGCATGCACCAGCGACGTACCCTGGACACCCACCTACCCGCCTACTTATGTGTCACCGTCACGCAGACCATGATCCAGGATTGCATCCGGTGACCCAAATGGGCTCACATGGTAGGGCTATGCAGATACCAGCTCGCAAAACAGCCTACTTACATACCTACTCCCGGGAAGCACATGCTAGCCGAAGCTGGCATCTGGCTACGCGATCTCCCATGCCAGAACAAGTGGAAACACCGAATTACGAAGGCTACCCACGGAGAAGGCGACAGGCAGTACTTTATGATCCGAGATATCAGATCTACCTTACGCCACCACTTTAAGGACTTCTACGACAAGCGTATCGACGTTTGCAAAGGCAAGTGCATGGAAGGTGCTTCCGATAATATCAAATAATTATCGAGGACCGCCCCGAAACGTTATAGTTTGGGCAAAATCACCACAACTCCTGCGAGATTGATACTGGCACGCTACCAAAAAGCACATCCTGGTCGGGAGCCAGCCGTACGACTCGGCAGAGAGGTCCCACTACTGCATGCCAAGGGGCCCAAAGAAGGAGGAGTACGCCACCAGGCTTCCCTACGACAGGCGGGCTTAAACATAGAATTGCTGCCAACCAATATGAACAGCTGTGCTGTGTGGCTGGGAACCAGACCAATACACGCACATGAAAGCATTCTACATGAAGTACAACGACGACGAGCACGACTTGGCTGACGAAGTCAAGCTGCATTACCAGCCTTCGTAGCAGGCCGCCCTCGTGGCGACGCCCCCTGGTGGGCGCCGCCGGATGTGTCACTGCGCCTGTAAGAGCCCACTGCATGCGCAAGCTGTCTGCGGGGACGTGTTCGGCTGTGCGGGCGTTGTGTCCGCTGGCCTGTGCCAGTGCGGTCTCGCCTGCCGTGCCAGTCCGCCCGCTCTGGCCAGCGCCCGTTCTCGCCATCCTTGAGCCGTGGCCCAACGCCCAGGGTGGCCCCAGAATGAACGTGTGACGGCTGCGCGATCCAAGTATGACCGAGGTATGATCTCAATTTGATCACAAGACGACCCTGACATGGCAGGAATACTGCAAATTCGAAGCCCCATCGTAGTTCGGGCCCATCCCAGCATGGCGGGATCCGTGAACGACCCCGGAGAGTTGTCTGCCCTGTTTTACTGGGTTGGACTTCAGCCTGGCCGAACTAAAGTTATGATATGAACAGAGTAAGTTAGGCGGGAACCCGCCCGGCCCACGGCAGAAGACGACACTGCCAGGCTTCTGCGGGGCGTCGGGGGGGCCACCCTCGGCGGCGCGCCGCGGGGGGGAAGTGAGGGGGCGGAGCCGGCCTTCTCGGAGGGCGCCGGGGCTTCGACGAAGGCGCAGGCAGCTCTTCAGAGGGCCAGGGGCCCTCGGAGCCTTCTGGGCCTTCTGGCCTCCCGGACGCGCCGCCGGGCCCAGGGGCCTCGCGGCTCCGAGAGCCCTTGTCTCGCTCGCCTCGGCGCAGTGCTAGCTGTCCTCGGCCCCCTCCGCGCGGAGGGGGGGGGGCCAGGGCCCGTCGGGCGTCGGGGCCGCTGCAGCACACGAGCAGGCCTCAGATAGGTCTTTGTGCCCACGTCGTGGACTCGCCTTCCCTTCCTCCTCGTGCTGCTGCTCCTCCGCCATCCTCCATCCCCCCCTTTCCGCCTCTGCCTCCGCGCCTGCTTCCCACCCACCCCCCGCCCCTTTGTCCCTCGTGTTTGTGGATTCTTCCGGCCTCCCGTTCTCCCCCCATCCCTTTCCCCCTCCCCCTGCTGGTCCTCCTGCCCGCTCTCGGCCCGTCGTTCTCCCGTCCGTCTCCCCCTCCTTGGAGTGGTTCGCCGTCTGCGCCTCGCGCCACGTCTTCCCGACGGCCTCTTCGCGTTCGCGTTTCCTCTTGTCTTCATGGAGGGGCAGCGCTAGGGGGGGATCGGCTCCGGATGGGGTGGTCGCCGATATCTCGGCGGCGCATGGCCGATTCCAGCTCAGCTCGATGTCTGCCCCGTCCCCTGGTGGCTTTCGGGTCGTAACTCGGGACTCTGGCTGCCGTTCGGAACGATCTGGGCACCCTTGAAACGCTCTCGGCGAAGCGCAGCCGCTGGAGGGCATCCCGACGCTGGGAAACCGCCGAGAACGGACGAAAACACCCAAAAACATCGAACCGTGAAAATATAGACGGCTCGCATAACCCCATCAGCCCATTCAGAAACAATCCCCATGCGAGTTGCCGTGATCATGAATGTGGCCTCGAGGAGCATGCGATGAAATAAAATTCTAGGGAAGCCGTCGTGGCCCAAGACGGGGAGGATGGAGGAGGGAGGAGGAGTAACAGGCGGATGATAATGATGAGGAGTAGGAAGACCAGTGCAAACCAAATATTCATCATTGCAGTAAACCCTCCCTCTGAGCTCCCTCCTCGTAGGCCCCTAAGGAGAAACAAACAAACGTTTTCACATATGGAAGTGCACCGTTGGAAAACAACAGTTAATAGAAGCCAGGTCACTTATCCTGGGATTTCAACGCCGCAAGTCACCGTGATTGTTGCGTCTTCACGATCCTGAATCGTGCCAGAGTACCATTGAAGGAACCGCCTTCCATCCTTGAAACACTTGCAATTGTTGAGCACGAATGTGCGCGGCGCTGAGCGGAGAGCCAAAGTTTGAAAGCGAGGCGCCTTCCATCCGTGAAACTCTCACAAACTCCAAGCGTCAGGATCATAAATGGTGAGGAAGTCTTAGGCGGAACGCCCGGCACGTCCTTTCGATCGGTTCCGGCTTGCGACAGGGAAGAGCTGCTTATGATAAGGAAGAGGGAAGGAGCAGGGCGAGCAGAAAGGCCAGAGGCCTCTTGGATGCCTCGGAATATATTCGGATGTCTCTTGCGAGTTTCTTGGGGTCCTCTTGGGGCGTCCTGGTGGCCTCTTGGCGGTCCCGGGGGCCACTTAGAGCGTCTTGGGTGCATCGGGGGAGCCTCTTGGGGCATCTTGAGGGTCTCTTCGGAGCCTCTTCGGGGTCTCTTGGGGACCTCTTGGGGCCTCCTACATCGGCGTTACAAGAATTTCGTCATACATTGAGACTCGATCGTCTTGCATATGCAAGGGCAAATCCCGCCCGGTGGGATTTCTAAGCCCGTGTGATTTTACGCCGGCATGTTAAACTACTCCGTTTTAAATCTATATTGTTTTAGTAAGGGATGGAATCCCACTGTTGAAAATCCCTGATCTTTGATCCGACCGCTCTTGATTCGGTCCGCTAGGATTCCACGGTTGTGACTGGCCAAACTCTGCCCGCCCGCTCACGCGGAAGTAAGACACGAAGCCCATGCCATCTTCCAGTTTCCATGAAACGTGACGAACGTTCGCAACGGCGTAGTAGGCGCCTCTCGGGGCCCTCCTGGGGAACTCCTGGAAGCCTCGGGGGCCATCTTGGGGCCATCTTGGAGGCGTTCGATCAGAGAGGTGGGGGTACTCAAGCAGCGCGCCCCCCTACCGGGAGGCCAGCAGGGGCCCAAATCCGCGATGACATGTGTGACGTGTGCCTTCTCGCCGAAGCCGTCTTGGACGCTATCACCCCCCGCGGGCGCCCCGTCCAGGTCCAAGGGAGGGGGCAGGGGGACGGGTCAACCCCTCTCCGAAGGGGAAGAAGGGGGATTGGAGGAAGAACCCTTCTAAATGTAAGCCGGGCCCGTCCCCCTACAGGAGGAAGATTCAAAAATAGTCCATGAAAAAAGTCTGGGGACGATGTTTCTTCTATGGTTTTTAAGCCGTTCCAAATGTTTTGAGACTATTTTCAATTTTTTGCCCGAAGTCCTCCTGCAGAGGGGACATGCCCGACCTAAGGCTGGTGGGATTTTGTCCGCCCCAGCACTGCTCCGCCTCGTGCACGTCGCCACCCCCCGGCGCGCCGCACTGGGAGGGCACCCTGTGGCACGCGCACTCGCGGGCGCTGGCGATCTCGGAGGAGCCCGGGCGTGGCGGGGGAGGGGCAGAGCTCGAGCACGCTCGGGCGACCGGCAGCGGGGGTGCGGTGGGCGTGGGAGGGGGGGGCCCCTTTGCAGGAGGAGGTGCCCATCTACCGCTGCCCTCGACTCGTGTTCGCCGTTTTGGGCCTGCCGGGAGGCCACCGTCGCCACGGCCGGATGCGCCCTGAGGTGCTGAGGTCAGAGGGCACCCCCGGAGAGGCCGGGGAGGGAGGGGACCCGTACCGCTCGGCTGCCCCAGGACCGAGGGTTGCAGGACAGCGGCCCCTGAACTGCCACCGCGGGCTCCAATGATCAGGTGGCCGAACGTCCCCCCCCCGGTTGATGCTCCCCGTTTGCGAGCACCCGACGCACGGCGGATGGTGTCCACGGTGGCGCCGTCACGGGAAGATGGCAGCGTCGAGCGGTGAGGGGGGCTCCCAGGCGGACGTTCCCAGATCTCCGCGGCGATTTGTTCTGTTCAGTCCTGGTGTCTTTCCTCGATTGGAAGTGCCTGGGAGCCGTTACCGGGCCCTCGCGCTGTCAGAATGGAGCCGGAACGGAGCACTACCCGCGCGGAAGCGGTCGGGATTTTTTGGGGCAGCAGATTGAAAATCACATCGGTTGATGTCAGGTTCGACACCGCGTCGTTTGGCCGGCCAAGGAGCCGAGGACGTTTGGCGAAGGAATTCGGTATAGCCGCTCCAGCATCCCACAGTGATGGACAGCTGGGGCGTCTGTGAGCTCCTTGGCCGCCCAGTCTATTTGGTTTGTATGTCGAGCCCCTCCCAGGACTTCGGATGCAGGTGGCACGAGCAGGGAGAAACGGGGATGCCAGGCTATCCAGCTGCCTGCGACAGCGTGGCAGCGCAGCAAGGAACGGGTTGCGTTTCAGACCCCCGCTCCAGCTATGTGCCCCGCGGGACTTGAATACCCTCTCCTTTTTCGCAGCTTCGTTCTGACAGTTATTCCTCCCTCTCCTCCTGCCATCTTTGGTGCGATGGTTCCGCGGAGCTCCCCGACGAAAGTTCGGTTGCATCATGTTGGAGGACACTTGGACGGGTCTTGGAGCCCTCTTGAGCCAGGGGGCTATCGGATAGTATTGAGGCTGTCTTGGAGCGCTCTTGGGGCCGTTTTGGTGGCCTCGTAGGGTTTCCCGCAAGTGTCCCGGGTCGCTCTAAAGACGAACATCTGTTATCTGTACCAATACGTTCCGCTTCATCATGGAGCCTCGAGCTCCAGGTGAGGCTTCTTTGGGCGTCTCGCTGAGCTTTCTTGGGACCTAGTGGAACATCGTGAGGAGATTGTGGATCCTTGGGGGTTCGTTGGGCTGTCTTTGGCATGATTTCGGGCGTATTGTAGCCGTTTGATTTGGCCGTTGGTTCTCCTGGAGTTGTCTTGAGGCCGAAACGGGCGCACGGGAGCAAAACTGGGGAGGGACAGTTTTCCGACATGTATCGCTTCGGGGCGTGTCGCCCGTAGACGACTACAGGAAGCCCCAATTGGAGCTGGCAACAGATAAGCATTCTAACACAACACGCCCCAGCGTGCCGTTGGCACGATCATGGGCATCGAAGGAGTGCGCTAGCAACTAGCGGATCTTGACGCGGGCATGTAAAACAGTTGCAGCCGACGAGAGGCCAGCTACCTCGCGAATGAGAGGCAGTGCGCTGCGCGCAACGATGTCAAACGTTAGGCACCGCGCGTGTTTTCACATTCCAGCATTGCCTCAGGTACGGCATCTGGTGAAACAGTTGACCGCAGAAGCCAGCGCGCGCAAAACTAAAGCGGACAAATGAGGGAACGAGAGAGCGACGATAAGAAAGGGAAAGACGCAACGAAAGCGGGGGGGGGAAGGGGCGGAGGTGGCGAAGTAGGGACGGATGGGTGGGAGGGGTGGGGTCGGGGGGCCAAGTCTTCAAAATGCAAACTGCACGTACTGACATCCATGCTGGAGTGCGTGCATGCTGCATGCAGGTCTTCCCGTTGAACGTTCACTGTCACTTGTCGCAGGCTTGGCCCCTCTGGGCGCCAAGCCCCAGCCAGCACCGGACTGACACCGTCTGTGGGGAGAGGGGCAGGCCCAGGCATCCGAGGTCACGTTCTGAGTTCAGCCTGTGGGCGCCGTCTCCATCCCAGGCCGTTCCTGTTGGTCCGGGAGCACCAGCGAGGTCTGGGTCGTGGTGCTTTCGAGGGGTATCCCGAGGTCCTGGAGGGCCTCTGGAGTGTTTCCAGACGCCCGGACGGATCCCAAACCATACAACAGCCTCGATCGCATCCCCTCCCCCCTCGGCTTCACCAGCGAGGAGGTGGCGGTCCGAGCAAGAACTCCACGGGGGTCACAAGGGCTTGCTCCATACGTATCGCATTTATGGAGGGACTCCGTAGGTATGGCAGGAGTGCCAAAAGCAGGGCTAATTGTTTACGCAAGTTAGGGGGTTTGGACGACTCCGATTAGCAAAAGCGCGCCTCTGTGAGGATGCTCATGGAGGTCTCGTGAACCCCCAGAGGTCCCTGGAGGCTTCCACAGGCTTCCAGAGGACCACGAAGGCGTCAACCCGTTTCCAAAACATAGGACATTTGATATTCGAAGTCTCTGTCCTGGAACCTCGATCGTGGAACCTCGCGAACTTCGATCCTGGAGCCTTGAAGTGGACGGGTCGATTTCGGAGGGGGCTTGTGCGCGGAAGAAGCCACGGCAACGTCTCGCGTAAGTGTCGTCTTTCCGACGCGCTCTGCCCCGCGAGCGGCTTGCATAAAGACAACGCGTAAGGTCGCTGTGCCTTGCCGCGTGAGACTCCTTTGTTTTCGTTGTTTGAGTGGGCCTCGATGGGGGGCGACCTCGGGGCCACCTCCTGATCCGATTCGGGCACCGAATTCGACAGCCTAGCGGGGTCCAGTTCTAGCAGAGCGGTGACATGCTGGCCCGCTCGGCGGCCGAACGCGCTCAGCCCCCACGTCGCTACTCTTCAACCACATGCCCGCCCTGAACCCCCAGACAGCGTACCCTGGGCCCGCAGGCAGCCAACATGGAGAAAGGGCCAGTGCCCCGGCGCAGACATTGCACAGGGGATGGGCACCACCCTTCCCGAAGGAACTCTCGTGTACAGGGAGGAGGAGGAGGAGGAGGAGGAGGAGGAGGAGGAGGAGGAGGAGCCCAGAAGGCCCCAGAGCCAGACGTCGTGATCTTCTCAGAGGCTCTACTCCCCGAGGGCCGGACCCGCTCCCGGGGGGCCGGCTTTTCTCGGCCCGAGGCGTGGCTTGACGGCCCCGCGGCCTTGCGAGGGCCCCCAGAGGCCGACACCAGCAAAAGGTTCTCCTCCTCCTCCTCCTCGTTCTCCTCCTCCTCCTCCTCCTCCTCCTCGTTCTCCTCCTCCTCCTCCTCCTCCTCCTCCTCCTCCTCCTCCTCCTCCTCCTCCTCCCCGTCACGCAGAAATTTGTTCCGTCGCGACTGTGTCGGAACGCGGGGAGGTTTGGGTCAGGAGGTGACCGTAGTCGCCGGCACGCACAAGGGGGGAAGGCAGATGGGGGCGCGCCTTGTCGGAAGGCTTAGGAGGCCTCCAGCCTTGCCCTCTGAGAAGCTTTCTCGGCCATCTCCGAACCCACTCGAGGGCTTCTGAGAAGGCCGGAGGGCTTCTGCGAAGCCCCGCTGCCTTCCGAGACGGCCTGCCCCGTCTCGCTTCGCCCCCGGCGCCCCGCCGACTTGGGGCCCAGCCTCGAGTCTCGGCCCCAGACCCCCGACGCCATGATTTTTTCGTTGCGTCGACCCCCCGAGGTCTGAACCCATTCCCCAGGACCAGTTTGTCATCCCGAGTCGTTTATTGCCGGGGCCGAAAATTATGAAAAACCTCCCGTCGTGACTTTTCCATTGCTCGATGGGGGTCTTGGGGCCCCTGCATGCCCAGTAGGGGGCCCCCAGGGATGATGCGGCGAGGAGCTGGCTGGCCTGCGGGCCAGCGCGGCGAGCGCCTTCGGGGAGCTGCCCGAGTGCGCGCCGCGTGCGCTGCAGGCGGCGGTGCGGGGGGGGCTCCAGCAGTGGAGGCCCATGCCAAGAAACACCCCCTCCTCCTCCTCCTCCTCCTCCTCCTCCTCCTCCTCCTCCTCCTCCTCCTCCTCCCCTCCTCCCCTCCTCCTCCTCCTCCTCCTCCTCCTCCTCCTCCTCCTCCTCCTCCTCCTCCTCCTCCTCCTCCTCCTCCTCCTCCTCCTCCCCCGAGGCGCTGTTTGCCAGTCAGACGGCGCCATCAGGCTCCTGATCTCCGCCTCTTCCTCCTCCCTCCTCCCGCCTCCTCCTCCTCCTCCTTCTCCTCCTCCTCCTCCTCCTCCTCCTCCTCCTCCTCCTCCTCCTCCTCCTCCTCGCGAAGAATGCGCGTAGATTCGGGGGGTAATCAATTCTGTGCAGTGGAGGCCCCTGCCAAGAGACACCCTGCTTGCCTCCAGGGTGCCCTGGGTTTCTTGGGTTTCGATGGTTTTGCTATGGAAAGCGTAACGTTCCCACGCCAAACATCGATGGACGTCCTGGGGTCTCAGGGCTGGGTTTCTTGTGGAAGGTTTCTTGTGGACTAGCCTCCACTGTACGGTCCGAATCGGTGCGAATCGATTCGCCAGCCAGGGCCGCGATTCCGACTCAGTTCCCAGACCTCCGACGACCTGTTTTTTGTTCCAGCCCCGCAGTTCTGTCCTAAGCGTCCGTCTCTGGGGGGCCGCTGACAGGCCCCAGGGCTGCCACCCAAAGGGATCGGGGGGGCCTTGGGGACGGGGTCGGGAGGCCTGGGGCGTTGATTGAAAAACCATGTCGGAGGATGTCAGGGTCTGGTTCGGGTAACCAGCAACTGCCAGGGCCAGCCGGAGCCAGGCGCGGCGGTCCGAGTTCGGTTCGATGCTGGACGAGTCGCTGGCGGTCCGCTCCGTTTCCGATGTGATCGGGCTTCACGTTTCGATCCTGGTCAGGCCTGCCTGCCATGGGCCGGGGGGAACGGAGAACTCCACTCCTCCGGGGGGCGGGACAGAGCACAGAGGCCTGCCCCTGTGTCCCAGCGCGAATGTGTGTCCTCCTCCATGCCCGACGTCTCTGGCGCTCAGGCGCTCGGCCGTTCCTGAAGCACGGTTGGGCGCCGCAGTTGGCCCGTGGGCTTGCCTGCCATGCCGTCGCGCAGGAGGAAGGCGGAGGGGGCCGAGGCGGGTGGCCGCGGAGGAGTGTCGAGAGCGCGTGGCAATGCTCCGTGTGGCCCTCCGGGACACGAGCCAGGCGGCCAGGCGGAGGACCGTGGAGAGGGTCGGCAGGCGGAGGACCGCGAAGCCAAGCAGCCAGGCCGGCAGAGCCCCTCTTTCGCCGAGGTCGCAATCGGACGAAGAGAATTGGCAAGAGTCAAGGGAGGAAAAGCCACCCGGCCCGGATAATTGGCGTTTGCTAAACGGCCTTGGGCGCTAATTAAAAGCGTTGCCCTGTTCAATTCCTTCCTGGGGTGCGTTTACTAAACGGCCTCGCTTGTCGGGGTGGTTACTATGGAGGGTGCATTTTTTGCCCGGACACGTGATGGGAGACGCCGCCGCGACAAACTCCAACTCCACCCCCGTGACGGGAGACGCCGCCGTGACGAGACGGCTTTTTGCTCACTCCACCACAAGACGGGCCAAACTCTTTGGCCCGTCTAGGAAAAGACAAGAGGTCCGAGGAGGACACGTGACCTCTGAGATCATCGCCAAAGTGAAGTTGATTCCCTTGGTCAAGGAGGCCGGCGGCGCGCGCAAGTTCGCGGGTGGCCACGCTGTCGCCACCAACCGACCTGGTCACGTGACACTTCTGCGAGGAAGAACACAGCTTCGTATCTTTGTTTTCCGTCCTGTCCTTTGAGAGCGGTGGGGCTCCATGGTTCCAGGGCATCAGCCCGATCGTCGCACGCGAGCGCGCTGCCACTGCCATGGGCGGCAAATGCACGAGGACGCTCATCAACAGAATTCCGGACCTTTTGCACCAGTGCCACGACACGTGCTGCAGGTGCCACGGAAGCAGGCAACACAGCGCTAATAGTTTCTGGGTCAGGCCAGGGATAGCCTGAAGACTTGGTGGGACAACTTGAGGGACAAGCAGCAGAACGAGTTGCCGTCGCAGCAGGCCAAGTCCATCGAGCACGCCGTAGAGGAGGACCTCGCGAAACACAAGGACGGCCCAGTGGTGCCGAATGTCTGCTTGAAGGAGATCAACGTGGAAAGACAACGTGGAAGGACAAGCGCGTGGGAGTTGCAATGGCTTTTGCGATCGCCCGCGGTCGAGATAGCCACATCATGCACGCGCGCCCGCACGCAAGACGGCCCCCCTCAAGCCGAAGGAGCGGGTGCGCTGCGCGGTGCCGTCGCAGATAAACGAACCAGGAAGCGCCACCACCGGAGGCCACTGGACGTGGCGTGGCCGCAGGCGGTCAGAGAAGGGCACTGGCGCCATCATCTCCCCGTCGCGCTCCATCGTCGCGAAGGGCTGCATGAAGATGACCAGCGACGAGGGTGCGCCGCAGATCGAGGCGCCCCAGGAGCGCAACCAGGAGGGCAGAGCAAGGCGCCGCAGGACGCCGGGGGGCAGTCGAACGCGGCGCCACCCACGGGGTCGAGAAGACAACGGGACCACGGGCTCGGCGCGCCCAATCCCAGCGGCAATGGCCCTTGCCTGGGGAGGCCGCTTCTGGGGCCAGCCAGCTGGGAAGCGCCGCTGGGCGGCAGCAAGCGAAGAGCTCGCCCGCACGCGCCAGCAGCTGCGGGGGAGGGGCCCCGCCCCCACCTCGGGCGCGGGCAAGGCAGACTACCCGAGTAGGTCCCTGGCGGCGCGGGAGTTCCTCGACTCGTTGCCCAGCATGAGGCAGCTCACGATGCCCAACGGGGTCCGCCCGAGGGCGAACCTTAAGAGGCCGAGCCGACGGACAACCTGGAGGAGGCCCAGGCAGTGCCCAGGCCCAAGCCCCAAGCCGAACGAGCGGGCTCTCGCGGTCCTCCTCACCGAGCGCACGGAGGACGGAACCCATTCAAGGTGGCGCCGCGTCTGGACTTGCTAACGGGCGAGGGGAAACGGGGGCCGGACGACACCAGCAACGCAAAGATGGCGGGTTGCGGCGAGTATTTCGGGATCCGCGCCACGGCCGCGGACCTGATTGGGCACGCGCGCTACGCGATGACGTTGGCCACGAGAGGACACCACGAGCCGACCGCCGTGGAGAGGGCGGCCGCTCTGCGGGGACATCCCCGCTCAGAGCACAGACGGGGTCGCACAGACGGAGCTGGAACAGCGGCAGCAGCGCCCCGTCAGGAGAGGGCGCTTGCGAGGAGGCGGCGGCCCGCGAGCGGCCCAGGAGACAGCACCCACCGCGCACCGAGGCGCGGTCGCGCGGGTGGCTCAAACCTCCCCGCGCGCGAGGGGAGCGGAGGCTGGGCCTGCGGGGGCCCGCAAAGGTTGGGGAGAAGCCTTTGAGCCACCTTCATGCGTGTCTTCGGGGAGGTCTCGAACCCATTTCACTCCTGCGGGTCCCGCCACGGGGGGGTGGGACCCTTCGTCCTTTCCGAGGACCCCCACCCCTTCCGCAGCGGGGGGGGAGACTTCGAGACCGCGAAAACAGCGCGTTCTGTAGTCGCTTGGGTGGGGGGAGGGTTTGGAAACGGACACCCCACCCCTCCCGCGATGGAAGAGGGGGAGGGGGATTCGAACCCTCCCCCCCCTCTCCCCCCCCCCCCCCCTCCTCCTCTATCCTCTCTCCCTCTCCTCGGGCCGGCGCCTGCGGCGGCGGCGGGGACGACGGCTTCCTGTTCTGGGCCGGCGCCGGCGCCTGCGGCGGCGGGCGGCGGCGGTGGGGTGCGTCGACGAGGACGACGTCGACGACGATGACGACGACGACGACGACGACGACGACGACGCTCCGCCACCGTGCCTTGGTTCTGGGTCAGAGTCCGAATGGATGCGTCATGGGTCTCGTCGGAGGGTTTTCGGGGGCCTTTGAAGGGCATTGGTGCAGCCTCCTGGTCGCCTTTTGGGCGTTGCTTGGGGCCTGTTGTGGTGGCAGCTTGTGGTGGTGGTGATGGTGGCGGTGGTGGTGATGGTGCGGTGGTTTCTGGTGGTGGTGGTCGTTGCGGCGGTGGTGGGTTAAGGTGGTGGTGGCGGTGGCAGTGGTGGTGTGGTGGTTTGTGGTGGTTGTGGTGGTGGTTGTGGTGGTGGTTGTGGTGGTGGTTGTGGTGGTGGTGGTGGGTTGTGGTGGCGGTGGTGGAGGTTGGGGTGATTGTGGTGGTGTTGGTTTGTTGCGGTGGTGGTGGTTGTGGTGGTAGGTTGGTGGTGATGGTCGTGGTGTGGTGGTTTGTTGTGGTGATGGTGGTGGTGGATTGTGGTGGTGGTGGTGGCGCTGGTGGTTGTGTGGTGGTTTGTTGTGGTCGTGGTGGTGGTTGTGGTGGTGATGGGGTGGTGGTGGTGATGGTGGTGGTGGTGGTGGTTTGGTGGTTGTGGTGGTGGTTTCTGTTGGTGGTTGTGGGTTGTGGTGGTGGTGGTGGTGGTTTGGTGGTTGCTGGTGGTGGTTTGTGGTGGTGGTGGTGGTGGGTTGTGGTGGTTGCGGTGGTTTGTGGAGGTGGTGCTGGTGGCGGTTGTGGTGGTGGTGTCAGTGGTGGTGGTGGTGTGGTGGTTTGTGGTGGTGGTGGTGGTGCTGGTGGGTTGTGCTGCCGGTAGTGGTTGTGGTTGTGGCGGTGGTGGTGGTGTGGTAGATTGTGGTGGTGATGGTGATACTGGTGGGTTTTTGTGGTGGTGGTGGTGAGTTGTGGTGGTTTGTTGTGGTCGTGGTGGTGGTTGTGGTGGTTTGTGGTCGTGGTTGTGTGGTGGTTTGGTGGTGGTGGTGGGTTGACGTGGTGGTGGTGGTGGTGGTGGTGGTGGTGGTGGTGGTGGTGGTGGTGGTGGTTGGTGGTGGTGGTGGTGGTGGTAATCGTCGCCGCGTCCCCGCCGTCGGCGTTACTGGCCGCCGCCAGCGCCTGCGCCGGCGCGGGGGGGGGGTTGCATCCCCCCTGGGCTGCCCCTGGTCATCGTCGCTGCGGCCTGCCGTCGGCTGTGCTGGCGGCCGTCAGCGCCGGCGCCGGCGCCAGGAGGGGTAATTCACCCCCCCCCCCCTCCAAGACTGCCGGAAGAGGTTCCGAAGAGAGCCTCAGGAGACCAAGACGGCCCAAGATGGCCCCAAGATGTCCCAGGATGGCCCCAAGACGGAAGATATTCTCAAGACGGTTGTGAGTGCGGCCCGGTGGGTGTTAGTATGGTCAGGGTTCCTCCGGAGGGTATTAGTCAACGAGTACGGTGAAGGGGGGGGGTCTCCAAAGAGCCTCCCCCCCCATCACCGAAGAGCCGGGCCCTGCATCCACCTCCAGGTTTATATCTCCCCCCCGTCTCGGTTTTACGGATGCATCACTCCCATCGCAGAGAAAGGGTATCAAGTTCCTGGAAGCGGCAGGCGCCCTGCGTACAGGGCCCACGTCGCCGCCACCCACACAAGGGAAATCACAATCACCTCGCCTTTTCCCACTTGCACTGCTATCGCACCGCTGTTCGGGCTCATCGAAGATACGCCCTCGCGTGCCAACACGACTGTGTATCTTCGTCGCTGCCCCATGTTTGCGGCCATCTGGGCTCAAGCGCTCGGCCGTTTCTAGATAGCCCACCCGCAACCACCCTGGGGCGTCAAGTTCCTGGGAGTGTCAGGCGCCCTGCGTACAGGGCTCACCGCACCGGCACCCACCAAAGGGGAAGCGCCGCCGTCACCTCAGTTGTCCTTTTCACCGCTATCGCACCGCTACTAGGGTTAATCGATTGTGCGCTTCGTTATCCCAAGGTCATGGGTGGCTGGAAGGTGGGTGGTATCTCGAAGCAGGGTCGTGGGTACTGCAAAACAGTTCCCTTTCGCGGGGAACGAAAAGAGACTGCACTCGGAACCAGGTGCACCGATCCCACTGATCCACCTACGCCGATTCCTGGTAGATCTGACCTTGCCAAGTCGCCAGCCGACTCGGCTTCTGTCTTCAAGCAGTGGCGAAGCGATTCGACCGGCCCACAGGCCCACACGAATATGTTCGAATACCCGCTTGTCGTCTGCAAAACAGATTCTTCCAACCTCTCTGGCTGACGCAGGGCTGGTTTCAGTCATCGGCATGGTGCTCTAGGAATGGTGGCCCTGTGATGAGAACATTAGTTCGTCCTCAGAACATGTCGTCGTAGGCCAAGGATGACGGGACGGTCGGTCCCTGCGCAACATCGACAGGTTGCGTTCTCTAACACTTGCGTTCTTTGTCGCCGCCCCCTGCTTTTCCCCTCCCATCGCCGCGGGGACCGCCGATGCTGTCGCTGCCGCTGCTGCCGCTGTCCCCCCCGTCCTCTGGGGATGGTCGATGGGATCGCAATGGCTCTTGTCGTGTGTTGTCTTCGCGTTATCTGTTATTGTCTCTCTCTCTCACTCTCTCTCGGCCCCTTTCTATATTCATGTGTTGGTTCTCTATGTTCTTTTTTTCTCTCTCTCTCTCTCTCTCTCTCCCCTTCTATTGTCTGTATCTCTCTCTCTCTCTCTCTCCGTATCCTCCTCGCGTGTTCTCTTCCTTTTCTCCTCATCGCGGCTTCGTGGCTGCGGGCACTGGTACATCGAAGAATCACTGATCTACTCTCATCATCATCATCATCATCATCATCATCATCATCATCATCATCATCATCATCATCATCATCATCATCATCATCATCATCATCATCATCCTACTCATCCTCCTCACGCCTCCGCCTACTAGTTTTGTCCATTGGTGTCTCCTCTTCTTTCTCTTGCTCCTCCACCTCCTCCTTCATTATCTCGCCCCGCCAATCGTGCTCGCACGTGAACCACCCCCACAGAGGCCATTCAAGCGAGCTCATCCAGCACCCACGCACACAGAGTGGGCTCCGTGCCTAGCATGGGATCTGGCTTGTACATGAGGAGCAGGGGGAGGAGGAGGAGCAGGAGGAGGGTGATGGGAAAGAGCGGATGGTTGAGGAGTGGAGGAGGAATACAAGTGGAGGATCAGAGGAGGGGGAATATGGAGGGCAGAGGAGGAGTGCAGCAGGGGGGGAGAGGGTTGGATGAGCAGAGCATTACAGGAGGAGGGGGGTCAGGAGGTCAGGAGGCAGAGGAGAAGGGAGAGAAGGGAAAGAAGCAGGGGTGGAAGAGAGATGTGGGTCAGAGAGGCCACGAGGAAGAGCAGGGAGGAAAGGCGGTGGCGGGATAGCGAATGGAGGAGGGGCGAGGGAGCGCGGGCAGAGGGGGCATGCCGCAGGGGAGCGGGAGTGCACCAGTGGCGCGGATGCGCCAGGCCACGTGGCCGTCAGAGGCTTCCCCCCCCCGGGTATAGCGCACTGGCAGCGCGCTCCCTTTCCCCCCCTGGCATCGCTCGGACGTGTGCACCCTTTCCTCGGCGCAGATCATGGAGGAGCATCCTGGCTCATCCTGCGAAAAAAAAAGCGAACAAAAAAAAAAACACGCACGAGACCCCCCCCCAAAAAAAAAGCACAGAGCATGGACGTCCGAGCGCTGGCCCGAGCAGCGCGCTCGCTTCCCGGTCCTCGAACGCCCACGGCCTCCCCCCTTGTCGGGGCGCCGGCTCCCCGCGCGGGAGCGCTGAGCTCTGCTGGCCGGCGCCGCCCATGTGCCGACCTCGCCGGCCGGCCGGGTCGGCCGGCTACAGTCGGGGCACTGAAGAAGGAACCCTTTTCGTTGGGGAGGGGCTCCGCGTTCCTCAAGTGTTTCACAGCTTGCCTCAGGCTTTCCTTATGTTTTCGACAGGAAGTCGAAGGTTAACCTATGGAACAAAGGGGCCTCGTTCCTTATTCAGGGTTCCTCAGGTCAACGCCCCGACGGTATGACGTGCGGGGGGGCACGCACGGCGCTCGTCAGCTCCCCTGAGATCTGGGCGTCGCAGTGTGCTCACGCGGGTCTCAAGTCGGGCTGGTCCCTCTACAGGGGGGCTATTCAAAGCTAGTCCAAAAAGAGTCCGGGGACGATTTTTCGAGCAGTATTTGACCATTTGGGGGTATTTTTCATGACTTTTTATGTTTTTCGTCCACAGTCCCCCTGTAGCGGGACATGCCCGACCCAACATTGGTCGTTTGTGCCCAGTTCCGAGCCCCACGACCATCCCGCATCGGCCCGGCTCGTCGAGTACTTACGCCAGACACATGGGGTCCTCACCGATGTTGCACTCTGTTCGCAGCTTCTGATCTGATCTCAAGGTTCCTCGAGTCCTTCTTCACGCGGTGTCGGACACCCATACATGCGACGTCCTGATTTTTTCAGGACGGCGTCCCGGGAAATCCCGACCCATCCCCCGGGGCCAGTTTTTCGTCCTGAGTCGTTTTTTGACGGTCCCGAGGCCCGGCGAGGGCTCCCCGAGGCCGAAAATGGCCAAAACTTCCCGTCCTGATTTTTTTACGAGGCGATCATGTCTGGGTACCAGAGCCTGGGATTGTCCCTGACCGGACACCTGCCGCACTCCCCCGCCCACTTGTGGGCCGGACACTCCCCGGCCGCTGGCCGCCGGGCGGCCGAGGCATGGCGTGCCTGGCGCTGGCCACCTTCGCCGCCACCGGCCGCGAGGCCGTGCTGGAGGACGCGGCCCGCTGCCAGGGGCGAGCTTCGAGGACCGGGGCTCGAGGATCGAGGCTCGAGGTTCGAAATTCGAGGAGGTTCGAGGTTCGAAAGTCGAGGATCGAGGTTCGAGGTTCGAAAGTCGAGGATCGAGGTTCGAGGTTCGAAATTCGAGGAGGTTCGAGGTTCGAACGTCGAGGATCGAGGTTCGAGGATCGAGGTGGCTCTGGGCGTCTTTGTCAGGGGCAACGGACGGGGGGAAAGGCTGCTGGGGGGAATGCGTCGGCCCCCAGTGAGGACGCGCCAATCTGCGGGGGCGAGCTTCGAGGGTCGGGACTCGAGGTCCTGGACGTCTGCGTCAGGGGCCACGTCAGGGGGGATAGGCTGGGTCTATGATGTTCCAACCTGCTTTAGCCTTGACGACCAGGAAGAATTTCGAGCACCAAGGATATACCGGAACGGGCGGCTTTTCTAGTGGCGTGCCTTGGGAGGCGACACGTGTTCGACACTTGGCCAGCGTGTCGGACAGACTCTGTTCCGATACTTTCTGGCGTGCTCGACCTTAGTTGTGGGATGCGGCCCTGAAGTACGAAGGGAACAACTACGATGGGAACAGCATCGGGCTAGGTCCGAGATGATAGGTCCCCATGCGTCTTCGTAGTGTCTCGGCGGTGTTCCAGCCTCAGGGTATCTCTCCGGGGGGCTGCGCCTCGCCGCGAGCGCTCCAGGCGTGCCCAGGGGATCGTCCCTAACGGCCGCCGGAGGCCCGAGTCACGGCCCGAAGCCCAGGGTGCAACGTTCGAGGGGGAAATGCATGCTCAGGAGGGGATGCGTCGACCCCAAATCGCCCATTGATCGCTGCCAGGGGCAACATGGCCCGATAGCCCGCCCGGAAGCGTGCGGATTTGATATCGGGCGCGTATCGCCGATTTGTCGGCGATGTGTCGCCGGTTCCAGGTCGATGGTTTCCCTTCTGAACCTGCCCCCACCTAACGTGGGCCCCCCAGAGAGGTGCGGGGCCGATTTCCGAGGGGAGCGGGAGGGTCACCATAAACCGAAGGTTTTTTGGGTGGAAAGGGATCGTGGGGCTCCTCCGCTGTTTTTAGCCTCGCGGGGCCCCTGCCGAGCCTACCAGGGGCCGCCAGGTTTTGAGGATCGAGGCCGTTTTTGGAGGTTTCGGGATTCCTTTTTGCGCCTCGTGGGGCGCTCTCCATTGCCACTGCCAGATCCGCCTCGAAGTTCTGGCCGGGATGCGCCCCAGGACACGTCCAAGGGGGAGCGGGATGTTCAAACCGCCCCTTGGGGCGCTCTTGGGGCCCTCTGGGGGCGATCTTGGGCGTTCTTGGGGCCGTCTTGGAGGCCTTTTGGGCCCCTCTTGGAGCTCTTTTGGGCCATCTTGGGGCCACTTTGAGGCCTCAAAAGCGCATCGGAAGCGAAGAGGCGAGAAGGTACAAATCATTGATTTTCCTTGGATGTTTGAAGGCCTTCGGTTACCCGGGGAGGTCCTGAAAGAATTCCAAAAGCACTTGGATTCGTCTTGCGGCCCTCTTGGGGCCTCCTGAAGGCATGTCGGAAGTTGTCTTGAACCATGTTTGGCTATCTTGAGTGATATTGGAAGTCAGCTCGGGCTCTCTCTGAGGCCCTCTTGGAGGCATCTTGTGCGAAAAAGGACTCTCTGGCACATCGCGGGGCGCCCCGTCCAGGTCCAGGGGAGGTGTTAGGGGGAGTGGTCAAGACACCCTCCCCGCCCGCAAGCCGTCTCGCTCACTCCCACCCGCCCTCCCAATACATACGTAGCACCCGAGCCTGGCCCGAACCGCAGCATATGCAGCAGTCGTCTTTGGATGGCCAGCTACTGGGGGCCAATCCGCCGCCGCCGCCGCCTCCGCCGCCGCCGCCTCCGCCGCCGCCGCCGTCGCTCGCCGCCGCCGCCGCCGGCGCCGCGCCGCTGCCGCCGCCGCCGCCGCCGCTGTCCGTCGCTGCCGCCGCCGCCGCGCTGCCCGCCGCCGCCGCCGCCGCCCCGCTGCCAAATCGCCGCCGCCGCTGCCGTTGCCGCCGCAGTCGCTGCCGCCACCGCTGCCGCCGCCGTCACCGCCGCCGCCGCCGCAGCCGCCGCCGCCCCCGCCGCCGCCGCTGCTGCCGCCGCCGCCACCGCCGCAGCCGCCGCAGCCGCTGCCCCCGCCGCAGCCGCCGCAGCCGCCGCCGCCAAGTATATTCTGTTTTGTTTTTGACAGGGATGGTGGAGGGAGGCCGCATCGGGTTCGCTGCGCATGCTCCGAATTTGGAGACAGAGCGTGTTTTGTTCCCCATATCCTAAGATGGGGTTCTTCCCCATATCCTAAGATGGGGTTCTTGTTATTACTTGGACGCCTCCTACTCCTCCTCCTTCCTCCTCCTCTTTTCTCCTCCCCTCCTGTCGGACTTACTCATACTCAGACTTGCTCATACACAGACTTACTCATACTCAGACTTATTCATACTCAGACCTACTCATACTCAGACTTACTCACACTCAGACATACTCATATACAGACTTACTCATACACAGACTTACTCACCTCCAGACGTACTCATACACAGACTCACTCATACCCAGACTTACTCATACACAGTATTAGTCATACTCAGACTTACTCATACCCAGACGTACACATACACAGACTTTCTCATACACATACCTACTCATACCCAGACTTACTCATACACAGACTTACTCATACACAGACTTACTCATACTCAGCACCCCTAAGGGGAGCCGCCAGGGGTGGTTGCACGGGCTCGTTCGCGGCCATTTTGTGGGGATGTCTCAGGCGGTTTGCCTGTTTCTGTGCCCAACATCCTTCGCTTTCGGAGCAGATTTGGAGGATGTCTCGAGCGAGGCGCTCATTTCAGCACCCCTAAGGGGAGCCGCCAGGGGTGGTTGCACGGGCTCGTTCGCGGCCATTTTGTGGGGATGTCTCAGGCGGTTTGCCTGTTTCTGTGCCCAACATCCTTCGCTTTCGGAGCAGATTTGGAGGATGTCTCGAGCGAGGCGCTCATTTCAGCACCCCTAAGGGGAGCCGCCAGGGGTGGTTGCACGGGCTCGTTCGCGGCCATTTTGTGGGGATGTCTCAGGCGGTTTGCCTGTTTCTGGCCCAACATCCTTCGCTTTCGGAGCAGATTTGGAGGATGTCTCGAGCGAGGCGCTCATTTCAGCACCCCTAAGGGGAGCCGCCAGGGGTGGTTGCACGGGCTCGTTCGCGGCCATTTTGTGGGGATGTCTCAGGCGGTTTGCCTGTTTCTGTGCCCAACATCCTTCGCTTTCGGAGCAGATTTGGAGGATGTCTCGAGCGAGGCGCTCGTTTTCACCCCCCAGGTGGGCCAGAATTTGAGGATGTCTCGATCGGTTTGCTAGTTTTGGTGGCCAGGCTCGTGGGCGCAGATTCTTCTCAGGATGCCACAGGAGGCTCCAACAGGCTCCAGGAGGCTCCAGGAGACCACATGAGGTCCCAGGAGGCATCAGGAGGCCACAGAAAGACTCAAGAGGCCACAGGATGTCCCAAGAGGCTCCAGGAGGCCCCAGGAAGCTCCAGAAGGCCTCAGGAAACCACAGGAGCCCCAGGAGACAACAGGAAGCGCCAGGAGGCCTCGGAAGGCAACAGGAGGCCCCGAGAGGCCCCAGGAGCAGGAGGCCTCAGAAGGCAACAGGAGTGGCTCCAATCCCATGTGTTTTACGTATGCTCCTATCGATTGGGCCTCACCTGGAGCACGATTCTTTGATGTTCTACGTATGTTTCTATAGATGGTCCTTCTCCTGTGTACACAATCCTAAATGTTTTACTCATGTTCCTATGTATTGGGCCTCTCCTGGGGCACGAGTCCTTGGTGTTTTACGCGTGTTCCTATAGATTGCCCTTCTCCTGTGGCTCTAATCCGCAATGTTTTATGTACGTCTGTTGCTATAGATTGCGCCTCCCCTGGGGCACGAAACCTTCCTAGGAGGTCCCAGGAGGTCCCAAGAGGCTCCTGGAGACCCCAGGAAGCCCCAGTAGGTTTCAGGAGGCCCCAGGAGGCCCCAGGCTCATGCACAGAGACGCGCTCGTACTACTGAGGCTCATTCACACTCCAATTCATTCGCAGTTAGATTGATGTCCAGACCGTCACAACTGAAGCCCGTTAATATTCGAAAGCTCTTGCGCCTAGACATTCACGGCGGACAGGTCCATGCGAGTAGATGCACATATGGGGAGCTCCACGCAGTGAATAATTCATTTCTCACAAAGGATGGTGGAGGCAGAGTGTGTTATGTATTGTTTTTTCCCTACCTAGGCTCTGCCTAGAAGGGTTCTTACTCTCTAGCTTAAAGGGGCCGGGCAGTGGAAAGCGCCCCGGGCGGTTCCCCCAGTCCCCGCCCCGCGGTTCCCCCCAGTCCCCTGGGAGCTTTAGCTTTAGCTTAGCTTTAGCTTAGCTGCAGCTTAGCTTTAGCTTAGCGTTTCGCTTAGCTTTTCGCTTAGCGTTTAGCTTAGCTTTAGCTTAGCTTTAGCTTAGCTTGAGCTTAGCTTGAGCTTGAGCTTAGCCTTAGCTTAGCTTTAGCTTAGATTTAGCTTAGCTGTAGCTTAGCTTGAGCTTAGCTTTAGCTTAGCTGTAGCTTAGATTTAGCTTATCAATAGCTTAGCTGTAGCTTAGCTTTAGCTTAGCTGTTGCTCAGCTTTAGATTTAGCTTAGCTTTAGCTTAGCTTTAGCTTAGCTTTAGCTTAGCTTTAGCTTAGCTTTAGCTTAGCGTTAGCTTAGCTTTAGCTTAGCTTTAGCTTAGCTTTAGTTTTAGCTTAGCTTTAGCTTAACTTTAGCTTAGCTGCGGCTTAGCCTAGCTTAGCTGTAGCTTAGCTTTAGCTTAGCTTCAGCTTGGCTTTAGCTTAGCGCTACTGTTACTAATGCTGCTTTCCTAGGGATTCCAACTCCTAGGTAGGGTCGCACTGGGATAATTACCAGGGGTGGTGGGGGGGTGGCCCTCATGGACCTGGCTTGGCTCCCACTCGCCTGGGGGAGGGGGTGTATATTAATAGGGAACAGTGATAAACCCCATCCCGAAGGGGAAGAAAGGATTGTGGAAGAGGAAGGAAAGACATTGTTAGACCACCTGTCGCCCAGAGGGCCAGTGGCATCATGATTTAGGCGTTCCAGTCGCTGGGTAAGAATCAAGGGGCCACGTGCGTCTTCTGCATACCGATTTGCAGAATACGTTCATAATTGTGTATGTCGGTAAGTGGTGGTTGCCCTCGTGGCAGTTCCAGCGCCACAGATTGCTGCTACTTCCAGCAGCGCTCTTAATGTACTATATATGTTCGATTGTTACTCGGCGCTGCAGGGCTGCCACCGCTCAGAAGATATACGCGATTCGCCTGTCGGGCCAGCCTCCTGTATGCTCGCTTGGCTTTGGATGGCCTTCGATTCGGACAGCCCGGACTGGCTTGTCGGATCGAGTTCTGCACCACAGAGACTGCGCAATGATAGTGTTGATAGTTGTTGCGTGGCATGTTGAGGAGGCACGGCCCCCAAGATTCGCCCAAGCGACCCCCCGACGTTGCAAAACAGCCTCGGAGGCACCAAGACTCACCACACGACGGTTCATGAGTTTCCCAAGAGGGTGCCCACACTGCCAGCAGGGCCCAGCCGCGCCAGTGGGGATAGGGATCGGTTAAAAAGATGTTCAGTTTGGCTCCTCCTGCTTCCTCCTCCTCGAGCCGACGGTCGGGGAGCGCGTTGTCGGCGCGCGCCCCGCGGGCTCGGAGGAGCAATGCTTTGTTGTGCGCATGGGGGAAGTTCCATTTCCAGAGGGCGGTACTTTTGAACAGATCTATATCTCTGCGCCTTCGTTTGAAACTGTTCGACGCGATTGTTACGCCCACGGCTGTTTACAGTCTGTCGACAACAGCCATGACAGCACAGCAGCGGTCGCGAGTTGTATCGACGCGCTTTAAAATTTTGGGCTCGGGGGTGAGGGGGGTCGAGCCACATGTAGATTGCAATTTTCGTTGCCATCATGCCTTATTGTCTTCACGCAGTCGGAGTGGACACTTTTTGCCCGGGCACCGACACGCTGGCACTAACACACGAGCAACACAATTACCTTGGGGAAGCCCTGTGGGCCGTGACCCGTTTCCACTAATGCCCGGCTCCGCAATGCCAATGGCGAGGGAGTGAGGGTCGCATCAACGGCGGCATGGTCGCGAGGTCTTGCTTGATGGCTTGCCCGCCCTTCCCTGCCCAGTGCCGTTCGTGACCGTCTCCTGGCAGAGGCTGTACTTTCCAACAGTGGGCTGAACACTGTGCAGATCGAGCGCCCACTACCTGGCAAGATGCGGGCGAGGAGGCCCACATCAGCCACCGACCGTCGTGCGGAAGTTCCGACTTGCTTCCGATGGATTCGGAGATTCTTGGCTGCAGGGATTACATGTCGTGGGTATTGGCGCACCTCAGGGGCAACGTGAGGGGGGATGTGCTCAGGGGGGGGACGCATGGACCCCCCATCGTCCACTGATCGCCGATAGGGGCCGGATGAAGTGCGGCTTCGCTATCGGGCGCCTATCGCTGACCTATCGGCGATTTATCGCCGAGTCCAAGTCGATGCTTCCCCCTGAGCCCGTCCCCCGGATCGCTCCTCAGCACTTTCTTCGGATCATAGATTCTGGCAATGCACATGGAGGTGGACATCTCTTGCCGCTCCTGTCCCTCTCATCATCTTCCTTGCCCATCCCTCTGTCCTCTTACTGCTCCCCTCCAGGAGAGGGGGCGCGGCTGGTTGGCAGTGTTGCAGGCTGCGAAGATCCGCCAACGCCACCCAGAGGCGCCGAGTTGCCTTGCCGCGCTCTTCCTCTTCATTATGCTCCTCCCCACAGGCCGATCCAACCAGTAAGCACGCGAGCCTCAAGTCTTGGAGTCGTCCAGTATTTTTCGGCTTCTCTCATCGTCGCGAGAACATGGAGCAGCAGATGTATCCAATGCGTGAATCTGGAAGCGATCGTCGTCGTCTGCGTCGTCGTCGTTTTCGTGCAGTTATGCAGTCGTCGTCGTCCAGTCGTCGTCATCGTCGTCGTCGTTGGCGGCGGCGTCGTCGTCGTTGTCGTCCAGTAGTCCAGTCGCCCAGTCGTCGTCGTCCTCGCCGTCGTTGTCGTCGTCGCTCAGTCGTCGTCGCCGCCGCAGAGCCCAGGTGCGCGCGAGCGCTCTGGTGGCGCCGGGGGGCGTTACGTCATACCGCCCCCCCTCCCTCTGGGCCCCCACCCCCCATCACGCGCTGTACCGCCATGTGACGTATCTATTAATGTATACATGTATGTATGTATATATATATATACATATATATATAAACATTCATAGCTGCACTGCTCTGCCAGAGGACCCCTGCAGAGGTGGCCAGGTCCCAGAGGGTCTCCGGTGGCTCTCAGAGGCATGCCAGAACAGAAGTGTTCAAGACTTCGGTCCCCCGACACCCGCCGATCTGATTTTTTCGATGCGCGGCCCCAGAAGTTCCGACCGCTTCCCTGGGCCCAGCTTTTCGTCCCGTTGCATGGCGTTCGACACCCTTTCCTCGCCCCTCTTCAATCGAATGCGAGCGTGCAAGTGCCTTTCGTCTTGCGTGGTTTCCGCACGTCATGTCGTTTGCGGCGTGCTTCAGGTTCAGGCCCCCCCTCCCCGTCCGTGCCAGTAAACTTGCCAGCGTCTTGAAAAAGCAGGCTCGGTCTCGACCGTCTCCCTGGGTCAATCTTTTCGTCTCTGATCCGAAGGATTGCAAAAAAACGAAGGATTGCAAAAAAAACCAGGATTGCAAAAAAAAAAACCCGAAGGATTGCAAAAAAAACGAAGGATTGCACAAAAACCCTTGTTTTTTTGCAATCCTCTGATTGTCCCAGGGCCCGACAACGGGCCCCGGAGGCCGAAGTCGGGGAGTAGCACCCAAGTCGGACTAAGATCAGGTCGTCGGAGAGAAGGATTGCAACAAAAACCCTTCGAGAAGGTTTTTTTTGCACGAAGGAGGTTTTTTGTTGCAATCCTTCGAGAAGGTTTTTTTGCAATCCTTCGGTTTTTTTTGCAATCCTTCGTGCAATCCTTGGGTCCGTGGATCTGGGCCCGGACTCTAGACAGACCTTTCCTCCTGAGTTTTCTCTCGGCGGTCGTGGGGCTCGGCAAGGGCCCCCAGGGGGCGACAACTGCCCAAAGCGCCCCGACGTGATTTTTTCTTGCACGACGCGAGCATGTCTGGGCGTGCATCACGTCAGCAGACCTTCGGTCTTCGGGCCCCGGCCCCCGCGCGAAGGTGCAGGCGTGGGCGCTCGCGGTGCTGGCGAACTGCTCGCCGGACCTGCCGCGGGACGGCGGCGGGGCCGACCTCGCGTGGCAGGCGCGGAGGGGGCTCCAGCCCAGCTGCGCCGTGTCGATCGCGGTCGGTCGGCTCGGTTTGGCCGGCTGCTGTGCCGTTGCTGCGTCGCGGCGTCGCTCTGGGCTGCCTGAAGCCTGTCGGTTTCGATGTCTTTCGGTGGTGTTGCCGCCGTGGACGGCGCTGAGGGCGGCAGGGGCAACGACGACGACGGCGCCGCCGCCGTCGCCGACTGGGGCGGCTTGGTCTCCCGGTAGGGTGTTGTCAAGCCGGGGCGTCCGACGCATGGTATGTTCCAGACGAGTCTCTCTTTCGCGGCTGTCGGCCGCAGGATGAACAACGGGCCCTGGGATTTTCAGGGGCCGGCGCCACGAAAAATTCGCGACGTCGGAGGAGAGGGCTCTATGCTTAAGTCGTGCCTGTCCCTCTACAGGAGAACTGTTCAGAAATAGTTTAAAAAGATTGTATGGGGACGAATTGTTGAGTATGTTTGACATGCTTTTGAAGATAGATGACTATTATTCATTTGTCTTACAAAATCCGCCTGTAGGGGGACATGCCCGACCTAACTCTAGCTGTCATCCAGGGAAGTGGGGGACATGGGAGGAGCGCCGCGGAAAGAGCAAGACCCTGCGCCTTGTCTGCTTTGTCTACCCGCCCTCTCTTTGGAGCGGGGGCCTCGCAGGGCTCTTGCTCTGAGCTGTTGTCTTGGGGCGCTCGGGGCTCGGCCTGCGCGCGACAGGACGCATGACCCTCCCTCTTTCTTGGTTCCATGATGTTCCCCCTCTTCCTCGGTTTCAAAGTGCTCCTCCTCCTCCTTCTCCTCCATTCCTTCTCCTCATAGATAACTCTTCCCTGTCGCACCCCGAGGCCAGTTTTTAGGGCGGGCCGGGCGTTTCGCTTGAGACGTCTTCACCATTTATGACTCTGAAGCTTAAAAAGTGACAGAAGCTTCACAGATGGAGGGGCGGGCCGTTTTCAAAATGTGGCTCTCGCCTTAGAGTCGCGCACATTCGTTTTCAAAATTAGCAAGAGCTTCACGGATTGAGGGCGGGTGGTTTTCAACATGTGATTATCGCTTCAGCGCCGCTTCCATTCGTGCTAAGCACTTGCAAGAGCTTCACGGATTGAGGGCGGGTGGTTTTCAAAATGTGGTTCTCGCCTTAGCGCTGCGCACATTCGTTTTAAGCATTTGAAAGAGCTTCTCGGATTGAGAGCGGGTCGTTTTCAAAGTGTGGTTCCCGCCTTAGCGCCGCGTGCATTCGTTTTCAGCATTTGCAAGAGTTTCACGGATTGAGGGCGGGTGGTTTTCAAAATGTGGTTCTCGCTTTAGCGCCGCGCACATTCGTTTTTCAACACTTGCAAGGGAGTCACGGATTTAGGGCGGGTAGATTTCAAAATGTAGTTCTCGCTTTAGCGCCGCGCACATTCGTTTAAACAAATTGCAAGAGCTTCTCGGATTGAGGGCGGGTCGTTTTCAAAATGCGGTTCTCGCTTCAGCGCCGCGTACATTCGCTTTAAGCATTTGTAGGAGTTTGACGGATTGAGGGCGGGTGGTTTTCAAAATGTGGTTCTCGCTTCAGCGCCTGGCACATTAGATTTAAACTTTTGCCAGAGTTTCACGGACTCCCAGGATCAACGTACAATAAATGGTGTTTTGGAAGGGTAGATGATGATGCGGGCGCAACAGGTCTGTTGATTCGCTGTATCGAAGTCCCAAACATGGCGTTCTGGCACGATTCTGGATCGTCAAGACGCAGCAGTCAGGTTGATACGTGGCGTTGAAATCCCGATAACAGTGTTTTGGCACGCTTCTGGATCTTCAAACTGTTGTCTTCCAGCGAGGCAGTTCCCTCAATGGAATTGAACTGTTGTAGGGGCCTAGGAAGAGGGAGATTGGAGGGGGGGTCAATTCCAACATCGTTGATGATTATTGGGTTTCCACTGGTCCTCCTCCTCCTCCCCCTCCGCCTCCTCTCATGATCATTATCCTTTCCCTCCTCCTCCTACGATGTCCTTCGTCACCTGCCGCCCCCCTCCCCCTCCTCATCCTCCTCATCCTGCTCCTCCGCATCCTCCTCTTCCTGACCCTCCCTCTCCCTCTGCCTCCTCCTCCTCTTCAGCAGCAGCAGCCTTCTCCTCCTCCTCCTCCTCTTCTTCATCCTCCTCATCATCATCCTCATCCTCCTCATCATCATACTTTTGCTCGTGCATCCCCTGGTCTTCCCGTCCTAGTGCCAGGGTGAGGCCCCCCGGAGGCCGAAACGTTACAGAAGATTCACCGTTGTGATGTTTGCTTCGCGACGCGAGGAGGTCTGGGATTTTGCTGCCCCCCCAACCAGTGGGATGCAACTGGTTCAGCACCGGCGCTGGTATATCCGTGGTCGAAAACAAACTGGATCCGACACACGTCTTGCTCGTTCCGCCGAATATTGCCTTGTCCCGCTTCATCGTGCTTCATCCTGGCCCTACTCCGGCCCAGTGGCGTCTTAATCTGGCTTATTGGCCCACAGGCGTTCTTAACGAAGCTTATGCCTGAGTGGCCAGCATTCGCCGTCCAGAGCCCAGACCGCCGTGGCATGTGCCTAGCGATGCACTCCCCCCCGCGCATACCTACGGTTTGGTCTTCGCTGTCGCTCTCCCCGCCAGTGCTTCGAGGGCTCACCTCCAGACGATGGTGGCTTGGCGGTCGACGGAGCGCTTAACGATGCGAGGGTGGACAACCCTTCCGGGAGTTGCCTCCCAGATGCCGCCTCCGACGGCGCTCGGCCGCGCTCTGCGCGGCGCCCGATCGGCGAGAGGGCCCAATCCGGCCGCGCCCGCCTCCGCCCGTCGTGGCGCCGCGAGGGCGTGGCCGCCTGCTGGGCGGCGGCGCGGGCGATCCCCAACGCCAGGGCGGTGCTCGAGAGAGCGGCCGCGGGGGGGAGCGGGTTCTCCCTCCTCCGCCCTCCCTTCCCCCCGCCCCCCCTCTCCTCCTCCTCCATCCTCCTCCTCCTCCTCCTCCTCCTCCTCCTCCTCCTCCTCCTCATCTTCCTCCTCCTTATCATCCTTCTCTGTCATCCCCTCCTCCTCCTCCTCCTCCTCCTCCTCCTCCTCCTCCTCCTCCTCCTCCACCTCCTCCTCCTCCTCCTCCTCCTCCTCCTCCTCCTCCTCCTCCTCCTCCTCCTCCTCCTCCTCCTCCCCTCCCTCCCCCTTTTCCTCCCCCCCTCGCCTCCTCCTCCTCCTCCCCCCTCCCCTCCTCCTCCTCCTCCTCCTCCCTCCTCCTCCTCCTCCTCCTCCTCCTCATTATCCTTCTCCTCTTCCTCTCGCCCCTCCTCCCTCTCCTCCTCCTCCTCCTCCTCCTCCTCCTCCTCCTCCTCCTCATCCTCATCCGCCTCCTCCTCCTCCTCATCCTCATCCTCCTCCCCCTCCTCCTCCTCCTCCCACTGGCTATGCCCGACCTGCTGGCTCAGGCTTGCGCATCCATGCGGGAGGAGGACGACGCAGCGCCAGATGAGTGCTCTTCAGAGAGGTCTGACTAACCCGCATCGGTCGGGTAAACTTGTCTGGCCCTATTTGTTCGACATGAGTTTCATCTTGGGTGCAGGGCGCATGTCAAAACAGATCCTCCTCCTCCTCCTCCTCGTCCCTCGTCCTCCTCCTCCTCCGTCTCATCCTCCCTCCTCCCTCCTCCCCTCCCCTCCCCTCCTCCTCCTCCTCCTCCTCCTCCTCCTCCTCCTCCTCCTCCTCCTCCTCCTCTCCTCCTCTTCCTCCTCCTGATCTCCTCTCCTCCTCCATCCTCCTCATCCTCCTCTCTACGCTCATCTCCACCTCCTTCTCCACCTTCTCCTCCTGCTCCTCTGTCGATTCTCTTCTTCTTCCTCTTCCTCCTCCTCCTCCATATCATAATCCTCCTCCTTCCTCTCCTTCTCCTCCTATCTCCTCCTCCTCCTCCTCGTCCTTCGTCGCCTCCTCCTACATCTCCTCCTCGTCCTCCTCCGCCACCTTCTCCTCCTCCCTCTCATCCTTGTCCTTATCCTCCTGCATCCTTTTGAAATTAAGACTTCAACATTTGGATCGTGCGTTAGGGCCGCGCAGATTCCCTTTGCACGTGGGGAAAAGCTTCACGGATGGAGGGCGGGTCAGTTTCAGAATGTGGGTCTCGCCACAGCGCCGCGCACATTCGTTTTAAACGTTCGCATTATCTTCACGGATGGAGGGCTGATCATTTTCAGATGTGATTATCGTCTTAGCGTTGCGCAATTCTGCCTTAATTTGTTGCAGCAGCCTCACGGATGGAGGGCGGGCCGTTTTCAACATGTGGTTCTCGCCGTAGCGCCGCACACGCTCTCTTGTTATGTGTCTTTCGTTAGTTCTCTCTCTCTCTCTCACATTCTCTCTCTCTCTCTTGATTTACTCTCTCTCTCTCTCTGTCTTTCTCTCTGTGTCTGTATACCTGCGTGCATATAGGTGTAGTAGTTGTAAGCGTACATCGGCATGGACATGCACCTATACATGCACCTATACCTGTACACTACGTGTACGTATACATAAACCTGTACACATAACAAACATACACACATACCTCTATATATATATGCATATGCATATACATCCAAACTACGTATATGTCCAGACGTAAACACATACACATAAACACGCACCTACATACATATATACGTGCACACGTATTTTTACATTTACATCTACATATGCTTCTGCATACCGACTTCGCCACGTGCTGGACGTTTATTGGCGACACCGTCCTGCGCGCGGAGGGAGCCAGGGTCGCAGTGGAGGACCGATTCGTGGAGGCGGCTCTTGATTTCAAGGCAGGGCTCGGCACCAAGAGGATGGTGGTGTCGCCCAAAACGGTGCTCATCTCCAACAATGTGAGTTTCGGTAAGTTGCAGGCCAAGCGCCTTTGGGCCAAGGCCATACCTGCGCAGTTTTGTTTTTCAGCGGTGGGCCCGGTAGTTGATTCTACTGGAGGAAGCAGGCGCTCTGTGCGCACGTCATCCCACGGGATCGTCGCAGCGGGGCGCAGGGCTTCGCGACTACATTGCTTTCGACATCACGCCAAGCTGCTTCGAGTTTGTTAGGGGCTGTGGGCCACTGGCGCACTTCCTCCGGCTGCCTACGGCCACTAGGTCATGGGCATTGCGCCGCACGAGCTCCTTCGCCTTCGTCGCTAGGCGGCCACCGCAGGAGCTGGGCCGCTCAAGGGAAGGTGCCGCACGAGTGTCATTGGTGTTTTGTTCGGCCCCAGGGACCCTGAATTGGAACTACGACGCCAGCTGGCGGCGGAAAGTTTGACAGCGTGGCGCTTGCATCTTGAGTTTCATCGTCGAGTCGAGCTCTCGTGGCCAACAATTCTGCAGAGGATGGAGCTTGCTGGGCCGCCGGGGCGATGGAGGGTCGTGAAAGGCTTCATATCAGCAGTCATCGCCACGTTACTTGATGCAGGCTGGACGGCCCCTGCAGTGTCGGCCAGAGGCTTCAGGCATGACTGAATGACATGTTCCTACAAGCTCGCTCTTTGCTTTTTTTTTCTGCAGATGCGATGGACGTCGCTGGCATCCTCGACGAGCTCATTGCTGACTTTCGGTCTCAGCTCTGGGCTCAGGCCAGCAACTATGAAGCTGGAGAGGATTTGAAGTATGGAGGCGATCTGCACTGCCCGAGGCGAGAGCACCTCCGCTTAATCAAGGAGGGGGACTACGGCATGGCAGGCCAGACGCTGTGCGTGGTGGCTGGCGCGCAGTGGCCTCGAGTTCGTCAGTTTCCGACGGGCACGCTTGAGCAGCAGGCTTGCCCGCGATGTGGCGGCGCCGCAAAGACCCTGCGGCACCGAGTATGGAAGTGCCCTGGCGATGAAAGGGTATGCGGACTTCTCTTCAACAGGTCTGCTTGTCCCGCAGGTTCTGGTGAACTGTGATATGAATCCAGGCCTTTGGCTCCGCGGAGTTCCCTTGACCGACCGCACCCACCCTGAGTTTGTGGACCCACCCGAGACCGAGGGCTTGCAGGCTCTCGAAACGGCGCCCTTGAGGGATCTGTCGTCCTCGTCTTCTGCTACCCTCGCCGCCGACGTTGTGGCGCGGCTGCGGTTGTGGCTACACAGAATCCAGGGGCGTCGCAGTGGGGAACGGTCGGGGGCGCTTCTGGAATGTTAGTGGGACACACCCAAACTGCCTCACGCTCCGAGCTCGTCGCCTTTTCCCTGTGCCTTGGGGGATGTGGCAGATCTCTCCAACTGTTCTTGTGTACTCAGCCGTATTGCTTCTTTCGGGTGTTTTTCGTTTGGCGAAGGCTGGGCTCTTCGCGAGGCTGACGTTTCACTTGTCCGGACTGCGTTCGGACGCCATCCGCTCCTGCACCGATGAGGGTGCAGGTGGGGGGGGGGGAGGGAGGGGGCGGGGGAGGATGTCCTCGCGGGCTGCCAACCTTGCGCGCGGGACAGGCAGGGGCGCGCGCACGGCCGCGACTTTTCCATGCCCGCGACGGGGCGGCGCAGCTCAGCAGCTTGACGCCACGATGTTGGCTGCACGCCTCAGGCCGGGATCGTTGTTGCGCGGAGCATGCGGCAAAGCAGCTCCCAAGACAACAACAACAACAACAACAACAACAACAACAACGACAACGACAACGACAACGACAACAAGAACAACAACAACAACAACAACAACAACAGCAACAACAACAACAACAACAGCAGCAACAGCAACAGCAACAACAGCAACAACAACAACAACAACGACAACCACAACAACAACAACAACAACAACAACAACAACAACAACAACAACAACAACAACAACAACAGCAACAACAACAACAGCAGCAGCAGCAGCAGCAGCAGCAACAACAACAACGACAACAACAACAACAACAACAACAACAACAACAACAACAACAACAACGACACTCTGCGGCCCCCCTGCACTCTGTCGCTGCCAATGTTCCCCTGGTCACGGGGTGGTGGGAGCGGGGTCGGGCTGGGGCGGCGGGCGGGCGGCACTGTGACCTGCGGCTTCGCATCAAGACTGCCATCTGCGCCAGGGGCATGGGGAGAGTCGCGCTCGAGGGGGCTCCGTCCCGTTTAGATTTAAGTGCTGAGGGCGTGGGCCCTCGCCGGGTTTTGCGGGCCGGAAGCGGCCCGGCCGGCCAAGCGGCTTCCGAGGCCGCGGAAAGGTCCTGGCACCCCTCGGCCCGTCCAGGTCACAGCATCGGCTTCCAGGATCCTCGGGCGTCTCCCATCCGCGAGAGGGCCCGCAGAGCTCTGATCGAGGCTGCCGCCGCCGACCCCAGGTAGGCTCGTCCCGCTGCGGCCCCTGTGGAGCGAGCGAGGCGCGGGGGTCGAAGCTTGACAGGGTGGTGCGAGAGTCGGTTCATAGATTTGTTGCCTTTGGCTCGTCCATCCGATGCCGAGCGTGCGAGCTGTCGCGCGAGAAGAAGGCCTTGCTGGAGGCCGCACGGCCCCCTTGCAGTCCTGCTGTTGGGGTCGCCCCACTTCCCTTCGGACGTGGTCGTCTCGGTCCCTGGGCCCGTCGACGTCGGCGGAGCGGTCTTGCATCCTTCTCACGAGCTGGCGTTTGGGGGTTTGCACTGCTTGTGTTGCTGCCAGCCTTCCTGGCAGGACTGCGACCGATGACGGGCGCCAGCTGGCGCCTGCGTGCGAGGCCCGGAAGGGCCTGGAGAAATCGGCGCGCATCCGCAGGAATTCGTCTCCCTCCCACGCAGGGCCTTCGAAGGCCTCAGCCGTGCCCGGGGAGGCGAGGATTTCAGCGCCTGCTGAGCGGAGGGAGCGTTCTCGGGAGCGCGCCAGAGGCCGCGGCGGCGCTGGCTCGCCCGAGCCCCTGGCCCCCTCCCTCGGGCAGCCCAGCTTGGCACCCGCCCCGTCCCCTCGGCGTCGCTCGGGCGTGTGCACGTTTTTCTCGGCGGGGACACGTCAGGCGCAGCCTGGACCATCCTGCGAAAAAAACACGCACGAAACGGGAACAAAAACAGAGGGAATGGACGTCCGAGCGATGGCCAGTCCCTGGCGGGGCCTTCGCCCCGCCCGTCCTGCGATGGGGGGGTGCAGGGGCCAGGGGGGCGTCCGCGCCCCGCTGGGCAGCGGGCGCGAGGGTGCCAGCAAGGGGTCGCCCTTCTTCTTCTTCTTCTTCTTCTTCGTTTTCTTCTTCTTCTTCTTCTTCTTCCTTCTTCTTCTTCTTATTATTATTATTATTATTCTTATTTTTCTTCTTCTTCTTCGTCTGTTCCTCCTCCTTTCTCTCCTCTGCACGACGCTGCTGGCCAACACGCTCCAACAACGTTCCTCCTCCGCGGCCACTCCCCCTCCTCCTCCTTTACCTCCTCCTTCTCCTCCTCCTCCTTCTCCCCCAGCGAACCCCTTCACCTTCCCTTTTCCTCCCTTTTCCTCTGGCTACGTCCACCCGCGGCGCATAGAAGGGCCCCCAAAGTGCCTCTTCAGCCTGTTTTATGCCGCCGTGGGTGGACCATCAGAAGGCTTGCAAGCCACTTGGGTCGTCTTCATCGTTCTGGGAAGCCCCAGAGAAGAAGTATCAGAACATCGGGATCTCCAAGAGTTCGACCATCCAGCTTAGCTAGAACTCAAGCGCGCGCGAAGCGCGCGCGATGGTTCTAGTGTGTGTATATGCATATCTCTCTCTATATATATATATATATATATATATATATGTATACATCCCTGACCGTCGCCGTACAAATCCAGGGGCCCAGAAGGCATGTTGTGTGCTCTTCGGAAACAATTCTGACGCCTCTTGGGGGCTGTTTTGGCGTCTCTTGGGGCCTTTTTGGGGTCTCTTGGGGAGCTGGGGCCTGCTGGGGGCCTCTGTGGGGGTTCTCGGGGGCCGTTTCGGCGGCCCCATGGGGCTGTCTTGGCGCCCTCCTGGGCCGTCGTGTGAGCCTCCTGGGTGCCTCTTGGGCCGTCTTGGGGGCGGTCTGGGGGGCGCCTTGGGCCGTCGTGGAGCGTTGGGAAGGCGAGAAGTCGTTGATGCTGACAACGTACGTCTCACGAGAGGAATTTGGCGATTTCGGCATCTTGGGGCTGTTTGGGAAAGCCTCTTGGGGCGAAAAGGATGCCTTTGGGACCGTCTTGGGGCCACCGTGGACGTTTTCCGTGGATGTGTTGTACTCCTCTTGGCCTGGCGTGGGACCCGCTGGAGGCCATCAGGAACCGTCTTGGGCCCTCCAGGCGCGCTCCGGACCCAGCGGCCCCCGCCGAGCTTGAAGTCTGACCAGATCAGCTAGGTATTTATGTAGGTATTCATTACATGAGTGCAACCACATCTATATATATATATATACATATATATATGTATACATACATACATACGTGTATATATATATATATATATTCGATCAATCGTTCTCTCTCTCTCTCTCCCTCTCTCTGGTTAGATACATACATGAACGCATGTCTCTCTCTCTCTCTCTTTCTCCCCCCCCCCCCTCAGTTTGTAATTCTCTCTTTTGCTCTCGCTCTCTCTCTCGCTCTCTCTCTTCCTGCCCCTCCCTCTCTCTCCCCATCCGTTTCCCGCTCTCTCTCTCTCTCTCTCCTTCTCTTTCCCTCTGCCTCTATATCCCTCTCTCCCTCTCTTTCCCCCACACACACCCCTGCTCCACAGAACCTGCCGCGGGTGGCACGATTCCGCCCGGGGAGGCCCACGCGCTGGCCGCGCTCCTCAACGCGCACCCGCGGAGGGCAGGCGCTGGACGAATCGCCGCCGCCGCCCCCCCTCGGCCCTCGGCCCCTCCGTCCTCCAACCGCCGGCCGACCCTCGGCGTCCAGCGCAGGGCCCTTCCCATTCGATCGAGCCGGGAGAGGGCCCTTCTCGGGAGCCCCCTCGCGCCTTCCGAGGGTTTTTTGCGTGTTCGGGGGAGGCTCAGAAAGCCTCTCAGAGGGCCGGGGGGCTCCCGAGCCTCCTGAGAAGGCCTTCTCCTTCTCACTGCCCCCCCTCGCTCGCCGCCAACGGTAGGCCCGGTCCGATTCGATTTCGGTTCCGGGATTCCGACGGCCCGATTCGGCCCGATGTTCGCGCGGGCGTTGCTGTGCACCGTGGCGCGGCGGCCCGACTCGACGCACAGTCCCACTGCCGGGGGTACGCTCTCGGCACCCAGTGCTTCGAGGCCGCGGCGGAGCACTGGCCTTGGCTGCGGTGGCAGCGCCAAGCCCCCGGCACTCGTGGCGCGCCCGGCGCCGGGGGTGAGGGGGGCGGGGAGCAGGCGGAGGAGGCGGACGGGCACGGGCGCGGCGGAGGGGCAGGAGGAGGGCAGTCGCGCGCTGCGTGGTTTTCGCCGTCGGGGTCGCCCCCGCTGGAGCGATTGCGTTCGTCGACGCGGCCGCCTGCGGCGCGAACTTCGAGTGGCTGGATAGGGGGAGCGCGCGGGGGTGGGGCTGGCACCCCCTCGCTAAGATGCGCGGGCATGGCTGCGGCAGCACCTGCACGGCAGAGCCCTTGGGGGTGCCCTGGGATCGCCACGGAAGGCCACGGAACGCGCTTGGGGCGCCCCCAGCGGGGGCGCGCCCAGCGGGTGGGTCTCGGAGCCAGCCGCTTCGGCTGATGTGCCTTGGAACCATGTGGCGACCCTGCCGCGGACGTTCTGGCACTCCTCGCTTCGCCGGGACCCCAAAGGAAGTTCTTGGCGCAATTCCGGGGCCCTCTCCGCGACATGAAGTCCAAATGTGCTCCAGCTGCGCCGGGCAGTTTCGCCCCGGGGCCAGCAGCGCAGCATTCTGGGTGGCCCTTTCTCGAGAAGGCAAGGGTGCCTGCTGGAGGCCTCTTGGGGCAGACGGCTCGAATTATGGGTTCGTGCTTCCACTCCTTGAGCACGATGTATGTGTTGCTCTTGAGTTACTACCAGAGCCAGATGTTGTGATTACACGTGCTACTCTGTATGCCGATGATACTTTGCTGGCGTCGCAGAAGCGTTCCAATTTGAAACGTATGATGGCAGCACTAGTGGAGGAAAGTAGGAAGCACGACCCGGAATTCGGTTGGGTTGGGATAAGACAGTTCACATACAGATATCCACAGACCTGACAAAATCAGCACCAAGCTGTGAGAACATTAGTCTTCGAGCACTTGCACTGGATGTGGTCTCGGACTTAACTTGGGAAGGAACGAGCGTGCACCTGATTGATACATATATATAGAGAGAGATATATTTAGATATATAGATAAGTGTATATACACACATACGCGTGAAAGTTGCGTCCTGGGCAAGCTGCGGTCCTCTTTGGATTACGTTTGGTTTCTGAAGGCAACCCGTGCGCGATTGGACGCCTTCCACTGCAAATGTCTGCGCCGATTGATTGGATTTCTCTTATGTTTCGCGTCCCAGGTTAGCAACGCAGTGGTGTTGCAAAACGCATATGCCCAATCTTTGTCGAAGATGTTGCTCGCCATGCAGGCTGCGTCGCACAGAGAAAATCAATAATGCCTCACTCGTCGCATATCCCCGCAGGACCATGTAGAAACCCTGGTTCCAAAAAGGACCCCAGGGAAAAGGACTTTTGAGACGGGCGATGCCGATTTCTCAAGTCCGTTCGGCTTCGCCCACAAGGTCGCTGCGCGACGCTTTCGCTAGCACTTCGAGGTCTCAAATCCAACGTCGCGGTCTCAGAAGTCCCTTTCGCTGGCGTCACTTTAGGCAACGTATCAGTGACGGGGAAAGGGACGAACAGACGCAAACGGGCAACCAGGGTGAACAGAGAGACCTGTGGGAGGAAGGGGATGGCCTTGGAGAGCCTCTTCGGGCCATCCCTGCGGCCCGCGTGGGGGCGAGGGAAGGAGGAGGAGGAGGAGGAGGACGAGGACGAGGAAGTGGAAGACGACGACCACGACCACGACCACAACGACCACGACCACGACGACCACGACGACAAGGAAGGGGAGGAAACGGAAACGGAGGACGATGAGGCAAGGACGAGGACGAGGAGGAGAAAGACAACGAAGAAGAGGACAGAGATCTCTAAATCAGATGTTGGAGCCTTCTTGGAATTGTTTTGGGGGATCTCGGAGTCCTCTCTTGGGACTCTTTTGGGGGATTGGGCGGCCCTTTGGGGGCCTTCTTGGGGCCCTCTTGGGGGTCCCTTGGAAGCCCTGGAGGGCTTGTTCGGGCCACCTTGGAGGCAATCGGTCAAAGGGGGTGTCCTCGATTTGCCTCCCCCCCTGGGGCCATCAACATCGCCTCTTGGGGCGCTCCTGGACCGCTGTTGGGGCCGTCTGGGGGGGGGCCTTTGTTGGGCCATCTTTCTTGGGGCCATCTTGAGGCCTCAAAAGCGCATTGGAAGCGAAAAGGCGAGAAATCAAACATCAGTGATTCATATTTTGGTGTTTCAAGGATTTGGGCTTCTCGGGGGTCCTGAGGAGGCTCCGGGAGCTTTTGGAACCGTCTTGTGGCCCTCGTCAGGCTTCTTGGGGTATGTCGGAAGCTATCTTGAACCATCGTCGGCTAAATTGAGCCATCTTAGAGGCCATATTGGGCCGTCTTGGGCGCTCTAACCCCTCGGGCCCCCCCGTCCAGACCCAGGGAGGAGGTGTAGCGGTAAGTCTCCCCGAAGTGAAGGCGGCTCTTGGAAGAGGAAAGAGAAGGGCTAGTAATGCTTGGCTGTGTGGTGTTGGTGGCTTCCACTCTTGGGCCCCTCTTGGGGCCGTCTTGGGACCATCTTGGGCAGTCGCGGGCGCCTCTTGAGCCGTCTTAGAGCTCTGTTGGGGGCCTCTTGAGCCGTCTCGGGGGGTCTGGGGGGCCTGTTAAGGTGGGGGGGGGGAATTCCACCACGACGGTGCGAGCCAGGCTTCGGCTTGCGGGGGCGCATTATTGCTTTGCGGTGCCGTGTATATCTTGGCATCCTGAGCGTCGGAAGCTCGAAAGGGGAAGACACCAACAAACATTGAGTAAGCCAAAGGCCATCTATGATGTTTGCCTCCCGAGGCCTCTTGAGAAGGCTCTCGGGGTTATCTTGAGACACCTCGACGGCCGAGTGGGCCAGCTTGAAGCCATCCTGGGCCATCCTGAGGCCATCGTGGCCCGTCTTCGATATTGGGCCGTCTTGGAGGCATCTGGGCCTCGGGAGCGCCAATCAGTCGTAGCTCGCGAGGGGTGGCGGCCTCGGGAAGAGGGGGCGGGGCGCGCGACGAAGTGCCACCAGGAGGGGCAGGGGCCCTCTCTAGAAAGTGACAGAGGTCCGACGGGACAAAACTTTGGCACTCTTCCACGCCTCCACGCGCACAAGGCAGGGGGGCGGATATAACAAGCAACAACAGCAACACACAGCACACACAGAACGAACCCATTGAACACACACACGCACACGATGAGCAAGCAATGAAACACACATAAGCAAAAACCGAGTGTTTCCCATGTTCGATCCTCGAAGCTCGATCCTCGATGACCCTCGATCCTCGGACCTCGTCGCGCGCGGCTGCTGGGCAGCCGCTGCTGCTGCTGCGGGCTCGGCCCTCGTGTCCGCGGAGGCCCCCGGGCCGCGGCATTGTGGAGGTGTTTCGGAGGCCTCGAGAGTTTCCTCCTTCCCCTCTCTCTGCTGGCCCTCTGTCCCAATGGGGTAATCCGCACTGCGCACCGTTCCGTTTCTGGATGAGGTCTGCAGTCAAGACGTTGAAGTAACCACCAGCTTGGGCTCAGGATGGGCCCGTGCCCCAGTGGCCCTGGAGGCTCGCAGAAGCCTTGGGTCACCTCCACAGATGCAAGCCTCGACGCAGAGTGTACCCCAGCAGGTCTGCTCGCAGGATGTCTTATCGCGTGTGTCTGCTTTACGCTTCCACGTCTGACCGCTTTCCCCTCCCCCTCCCCCCGCGCGGCCGCCCTCGTCTTCGACTCTCCCTCTGGCGCGCCGGACAATTTGCCCATCGGTTGCCCGATAAGCCCCACGTTGGCGCGGACTGCAACTGCCTCGCCGCCGACGGAACAAGAAGCGTCTGCTCCACGCGTCTCCTCAGTTCTTTGGCCGCTGCATGTTTACGTTTGGAATGCCAGTCCCTCCAGCATCCCACTTAGTTATCGCTTGCACCTTGCACCGTGCGAGGTCTCCTAGATTGTGCCTTCGACAACGCGTGTTCGCAATTCGCACTTCCATCTGCTGCCCACGCTCGAGGACCCTCTGCGCCGCCGACTGAAACGTGTCTGTTCTATGCTTAAGTCGGGCATGTCCCTCTACAGGAGGAATCTTCCCAAATAGTCAGACACTGTCTGGGGACGATTTTTTCCATTTCCGGCTTACGTTTGCATGCTTTTGCTTATTTTCAATTCTTCTTCTAAAATCCGCCTCTAGGAGGACACGCCCGACCTAACTCTACGCCGAGGGCGGGGGGTCGAGGCACCACGCGGCGGCGACGTGGGCCCGTCGCGCGGTGCTGCTGCTGCTGGCTCGCCCCCTGCCGCGCGGGTGCCCGGCCCCCGCGGCAGGCGCGGCGGCGAGGGCCAAGGGCCTGCTGCCGAACCTGCGGGAGGCGCCGGCCCCCCCCCCCCCGGCGGGCGACCGGCGTGGCCGCCTGCGATGGCCGGGCACGGGTCCTTTTCCGCTTTTGCCCGGCGTCGATCGGACCTGCAGAGCATCAGCCACGCGCAGAGGGGGTGTGGGGGGAGGGGGGAGGGCTTCTTAGAGTCTTAGAAGCACGCCTGCTTCTCAGAAGGCGCGGGCCTCATCGATAGATGTAAGGCCGGCTGCCTTCTAAGAAGCAGCCTCTTTCTGAGAAGCCCTCCCCCCTCCCCCCACCCCTTTCTGCGCGCCGCCAAGAGCAAGCTTGTGGCGTTAGTGACGCAATGAGAAAGAAATCGCCGGCTCAGGCGAAGAAACAAGCAAATCAGGCCAGAGTGGCGAGCGCCGCGGGAGTCCTCTTCCGCCTCCTCTTCCTTGTCCTCCTCCTGCTCCCTCCTCTTGCCTTCAGACTCGGGCGTCGCAGCGAGCGTTGTGATGTGTTGTACGTTTCGGAACTGATCGGCCTCCAGGGGCCCCTTCCTGGCCCGGGGCCGTAAAGTAATTGTCCAGGAAGAATGGGACGTTGCGTCGAGTAATCCCCCAAAGGAGCCACCGCAAGTGTTTTCTGTGTACGCTCGGTTCTGTGAGCTCGCTACTCGCGTACGTGATCTTCACATTTGTTCCGTGCGTTGTGATGATACGTGCGCACATGTTTGAGTCGGAAGGCCGCGTACATTGTGTCCACATGACATGCGTACCAACGCAAGGATATACAAACCTGGTTGTACTGACGCATACGTGAATGAGTGGTATGTAGAGGTGTGCGCTACGTACGCGCCTGCATGCTATCCACGTGTGATGCGTAGTAGTGTGGTGTATTGGCGTCCTGCTTGTACGGTATGTACACCCAACACCTGTTCGATATACATTGTCAGGTGCACATTGTGTGCACGTAATATTAAAGGCTTGCATGTTGATCATGCGAGATATTCATGATTACTACGTTTGTTGTGTATGATTGATGAACTGTTGTGCGCACATGTTGTTTATGTGTGGCGGTTGAGGGCACACTGTCACATGTGATTTTGTGTGCCCGAACTGTTGGCATAATTTGATTATGTTACGTGTGTGATATGTTTGGGCTTGGAAGTATAATAGCTATACGCACGGTGTTATATGATTGCCCATGTTGGTAGGCGCGAG